GCGATGGCGAGCGAGTGAGGGCGAGGCTTGGGGGGTCGAAGTGCGATGGCGAGGGTTCGGGGTCGAAGTAGAACAGAGGGTTGGGGGTCGGGTTCAAGTAGAAAAGAGGAAGTTTTAAATAGGGTGTTTCCAATTTGAGGGTTCCATCTCACGGTTTTTGTTCCGGGCGTGATATAACCCGTGAAACCGCCTGGAACTTACAATTTTTTATTAAACATTCTAACGGTCCATCTCCCGGCCGTGAGATTTTAAGTTGTGAGGCGTGTTTTTGGGTTTCAGCTGTGACCATCTCACGGGTTAATCTCACGCCCGTGAGATTAACAGATGAGCCGTGAGAAGTCCAGCATTTCAATTACACAAACACGGCTTATCTCACGGCCGTGATACTGTCAAACCAACCCGTGAAACCCCCTGGAACTCCCCCTTTTTTAAAAAAATCTAACGGTTCATCTCCCGGCCGTGAGATTTTCAGATGTGAGGCGTGTTTTTGAGTTTCAGCTGTGACCATATCACGGGTTAATCTCACGCCCGTGATATTTAAAGATGAGCCGTGAGAAGTGCATTTTTACATACAAGGTCTCTCTCACGGTCTCTCTCACGGCCGTGATATTTCCATCTCACGGCTCCTTATCCCGGGCGGGATATTACCAACTCAAAACCGTGAAACTCCCAGGGACATTTTTTTAAATTTAACGGTTCATCTACCGTCCGTGAGATTTGGGTTATGGGGCGTGAGAAATTGAGAGTGGTTTGTGTTATGGGGCGTGAGAAATTGGGAGTGGTTTCCATATCACGGCTTATTCTCTCGGCCGTGACAATTTAATTACAAGCCGTGAGGTTTCCATCTAAGAACAAAAAACAACAATAACTAGATATATCCATCTAGCCACCCACAATTGAAGAGAAGATCAATATTTGATCATTAGAGTTATGGAGTACATTGCAATTGATTTGTAGAAAAGAAATTGAACATACATATATAACACAATTTATGTCCTTATTAATTCACCCCATCTCAAGAATTTGTGTAGCAAACTTTTGTCGAACATCCATGCCCATCCCCCTCCCATGAATCCACAACTGCATTCATATTTTCCACACCTAAGAAATCCTGCGGGTCCAGAAAAAAAAACACATATATACAACACAAAGATCAAATCACTACCATTAAGCACCACCAAGGCTTATACAAATCACACAAACGCAACAATCAGTCAAATTCTAGGCTATCACCAAACCAAGATAATCCAAAGATCTAGTAGAAAAATTAAGAACGAATAAATAAGCAACACTCACTGGTTGACTCAAGCCGCCTAGCAGCCTCCTGTTACATAATGGCAACTACTCTTCACCAAGAACTAAGTTGTGAATTGATACACTGATACAGAGAGAGATTACCTTCTTCATTACTGTTTCCTTTTTCCAGGTTTCAACACCCTTTAATAATGCTTTCGATGATGTGCCTATACCATGATAATAATTAGTACCTATAAACAGAACAATAAGCAGGACAGTAGCCATCCAGTCGGCGAAGATGATATTAAAAGTCACACCGATACTAATTCATAGCATAAGCATGGGCTGGATCAGTAGAGCCAAATCATAATCAATGATTGGCATGTCAAGTGTAGGATGCCGTAGCCTAAGATTATAGTACACAGTTGATGCAGATGAACCCATTATCATACCCATTATTATAATGGTGTAAGTAACATAATATACTGTTTGTGAAAACTACAAGCTTATGAAAAGATACTGGAAGATATAGACTTACAGACTTCTCCCTTGACGTCTCTTTGAGTATTCCATCCTCTTCGATCTCCACTTTTGTAACTCCCCTTGGAGCTGGGGTGATACCGGACAGATCAAACTTTCCTAGCTAGATGCAACCTTGGTCAGGGGTTTTGCATCCCTCCCACTCAAAACTTCTCTCTATGTATTTCGATCTCTCTGTATTTCAATCACTCTCTGTATTTCGATCTCCATCTCTTTGCTGCATTCCTTGTCCAAGGATTGTATCGAGCTAGGAAAGTTTGTTCTCCTTGCTTCCTTCCTTAGAGATCGATGAGGTGGAATACTCAATGTGACGTCAAGGTAGAAGATCCCAGGAGCATTTTAATCACGTCTACACCATCATGATCAGTCAGAACCATGTCAATGCTCATTTAGGTTACAAATTGAACCCTTTTGATGATGTTACAGTAAGCTCTTCATTCATAAGGTTATGAGAAGTAAAAACAAAGGTATTTATTTGAGCCAAAATCAGACACTGCATTATATAGGAGATTGGCAAATACCTGTGATAGTGGTGCTGAAACTCTCTTGACAGATACCACACGAAGCTTCACCGATCATGTTCTTTATATCACTGAACAATATCGATTAAGACAAGTTAATATGACAACCAAAGCGATGAATTATCATACCACTGAGATTATTCCTCCCAAACCCCAAGAACTGAAAGAATACTTACATGCGGCACTCGACACTTGTTCCATGATTGCAGAAGGGACAACTGAACACAGTGTCCAGCTTGTCCATTCTCTTCTTAGGTGGTGGCTTTGCCTTTGACTTCCTCTTTCCCATGTCTAATTACTACAACAACAAGCAATAAACAAATCGTTTCAACCAAACAATATCATACTTATCCCTTCCTTCTCTGCTCCGCTCGCTTCTTCTCTGACCCATTCACATCTTTCTCAAAAACAACAACATAACCCCAAAAAGTCCCGAGGATGATATCCAACAATCAACACTGTTGAGTCAAACTAGATGCAAAAAGCAATTTCGTTTTCTAAACCTAGGGTTCAATCAACTCCTCTTCACAGTATACCTGTTGGAACAGTTTGGGGAAACATGGTCAGGTAAAATGCCCTGTTCAATAGAAAGCTGTGTTCGACATTGCCTTCACCGTTATGAATTGCATCAACCAACCCGGTGTAGTTCCAGTTCTTGATCACATTGTACGGACCATAGTGGATCTCGACCTCGATGGTGTACCCACCATTGTTGATCAGGAATATGATAGTCTTCTGCTCATTTCTAATCATTGTTGAAATATCTTGCACAGTCACCTGTCAATCATGCACACACCCATGAGGCACAAAGTTTAATTCCCGACCTACTTCAAACCACTGGACTTCCATGGACAATATATAATTGGTCTCAGTTGCATACCTGAAAGCTACCATCACCAATGCAAGCAATCACACGCTTCTCCGGCACAGCTTGAGCATATCCAAGAGTAGCACCAACTGACCAACCTATTGAACCATACTGCATCTGAAATTCATACCTGAAAATCCAAAAACTCAATGATTCTCTTAGGTCGAAACAACCCAAAACTACTTACAAGAAGAAGGAATTTGATACTGCATCTGAAGATATAGACTTACAGACTTCTCCCTTGACGTCTCTTTGAGTATTCCATCCTCTTCGATCTCCACTTTTGTAACTCCCCTTGGAGTTGGGGTGATACCGGACAGATCAAACTTTCCAAGCTAGATGCAACCTTGGTCAAGGGTTTTGCATCCCTCCCACTCAAAACTTCTCTCTATGTATTTCGATCTCTCTGTATTTCAATCATTCTCTGTATTTCGATCTCCATCTCTTTGCTGCATTCCTTGTCCAAGGATTGTATCGAGCTTGGAAAGTTTGTTCTCCTTGCTTCCTTCCTTAGAGATCGATGAGGTGGAATACTCAATGTGACGTCAAGGTAGAAGATCCCAGGAGCATTTTAATCACGTCTACACCATCATGATCAGTCAGAACCATGTCAATGCTCACTTAGGTTACAAATTGAACCCTTTTGATGATGTTACAGTAAGCTCTTCATTCATAAGGTTATGAGAAGTAAAACCAAAGGTATTTATTTGAGCCAAAATCAGACACTGCACCAGCATGATGATGGAAATGCTGGACTTCCAACTATAGAGACAACAACATTCGAGGTAACAGCCTGAAATGGACAAGAAAAGCTGTTAATCCGAAAATGTAAACTGCTAACCAAGTAAGGCTTTGAAAAAAATGAATCAAACTACACACAGTGGACCTCCTAGAACAATAAAATCCTAGGGTATGCTCTACACAAACCAATTGCTGGAGATAATAGAAAGCAGCAACAGCCTCGCATTACCAATTACAACCCTAGCGGTACCAAAGACAGTACAGGCTACAGCTTATACCAGCTTATACCAGCTTCAGCTCCTCATTACCAAAACATAATCAACAGACTACCAGCGTACCAGCGAAAAATCTCAGATTCAATCGCAGGGCTTAAGCAAATCATAAAGAGTTGAAAAGAGCAGAATGAGTGGGGAAGGGATGATAAGGAACTGACCACTCCAAAATCAGTGAAACTAGAGATGGAAATCTTCTGGTCGGATAGGTAATCCCTGGTGAGCAAATCTGCAAACAAAGAGGGAATCAAACGAAACATCGGCGCCGCAGCAAACCGCGAGAGCAGGAGAGAGAGAGAGAGAGAGGAAGGTGGAAAGGGGAGATCTATCTTAGTTTACCTTTGGCCTTCTTGCCGAAGTCGTAGTAGAGACCTGGTCCCTTGCTCATGGCGGCCGGCGAAACAGAGTCGGAGCGGGGAGGATTTGCAGAGTTGGGGAGAAAATGAAGTAGGAAGTCAAAGAGGGTTGGGGGTCGAAGTAGAACGGAGGGTTGGGGGTCAGGTTCAAGTAGAAAAGTGGAAGTTTTAAATAGGGTGTTTCCAATTTTAGGGTTAATCTCACGGCTTTTTGTCCCGGGCGGGATGTAACCCGTGAAACCCTCTGGAGCTTACAATTTTTTTTTAAAAATTCTAACGGTACATCTCCCGGCCGTGAGGTTTCAGTTATGAGGCGTGTTTTTGGGTTTCAACTGTGATCATCTCACGGCCTCTCTCACGGTTTCTCTCACGGCCGTGATATTTCCAGAATTTCAAATCCAAAAACACGCATGCTTTCACGGCCGTGAGATTTCCGGAATTGGCCTGCACAGACATTCACATGTAGAACTAACCCCTGTACTTATTATAATGGTGTAAGAAACATAATATACTGTTTTTGAAAACTACAAGCTTATGAAAAGATGAGTCATAATGTTCTTTGAAGCTAGACACAAGCATTACATAGATCCATTCAATGTCACTAGATACTAACTTGCACAAAACAAACATGACAAGATGAAACATAATGTTGTTTGAAGCCGAACACCAGCATTACAGGTTGTGCTTGGATCGTTTGGGAAGTAGAACAGATACTTGAGTCTCCACATGAAAGCTGCTTTCACCTGCTCCTATGGACTCGAAGTTGTATTCTTGTTGCGTGAAATGACTATCACCTGCACCTGCTTCAGCCATTCTTTTCAGCGGACAATTTCTGATTGTATGTTTAGGACGCCTACAATACTAGCACAACCGTGTTTTCACTTGAGGTTGCTTCACATTCCCTTTACTTCGAACTGGATGGGGGTCCTTAATAAACTGAGAGGAGTTCACTCCAGCATCCGTAGTAGCATTATTTGTTTTGTTGGTTGTTTCTTCACTTATTGTCTTCACTCGCAAGGTCAAGTCTTCAATCAACCCTTTGGCAGTATGAAATGCTTCATCCGAACTCACAGCATAATGGCACATTCTACTACATTGACCAACCAAGAATCCAAACCTGTCCAAATAAACAAGCAATTTTGTAGTTGGTTCCTAGCACAATAGAAGTAAACAAAGAACTAAATCAACAACTTACATTTATAATACCTGCTAATATTTTGCTGGGTAGGACAGCTTCCCATACTCGAGGGATCAAACTCTTTTGCATCTTTAGTCCAACACTTCAAAATGAGTGACTTTGGAATTTGTATTTGATTTTCTGCTTTCAATATACAGAATATATGCCGACATGGAATTCCGCAGAACTCAAAAATGCCACAAGAACAATGCACATCATGTCCACTCGTGTAAAAGACCACAGTGCACTTTGAGTCAGGGTATTTGAATCGTGACAATGTGTAAATTGTTTTATTGGTCAACACACACTTGTCTGTAATATAATAATGAACTTCTCTCGCTATTTCTGCTCGAACGCTCCTGAACACATTTCTTGTATATACTATAGAGGCATGCCTTTCAATTTCATGTAAATGTGTCATCAAAACAACATCAGTATGTATTGTCTTAAACTGGTCATGTAACTCAGTTTGTCTCCTATACAAAAGTGCCATGTCAAACTGCTTGACAAACTCAAACAACTTCATCTTACTTTGCAAGAATTTGTCTAGATAAGAGTTCATGCTCTCACAACGTTGTGACGTAGTCATCCCAGCAAAGAAAATACCTTTCAAGTAAGTTGTGGCCCATAGAGCTCGTCGCCTATACATCTTCTTCATCCACGCATTGTGCTCCAGGTCATACTTGGACAAAATTTCCTTCCACGTAGCTTCAAATTGTGGAATAGAACTGCTGTTTAGCATGCATCGTTTGAAATCCTCCCGGAAGCCTTCCGCATGGCCACGCGCTTCTGCGTTATTGCCCAAGTGCCAAGAACATAACCGATGTCGGGATCCAGGGAGAACCGACTTGATAGCTTTCCTCATTGAAGAACAACCATCTGTTATAACTGCGGTTGGCTTCTTACCACCCATGCAATGTAAAAAAGCATTTAGAATCCATACGTAGTTCTCCGCCGTTTCATCCGCAAGTAAAGCACATGCAAAAACAGTGCTTGCATTGTGATTATTCACACCAATGAATAGAAGAAATGGAAGATTATATGCATTAGTCTTGTACGTCGAGTCAAAAACAAGAACATCTCCAAAGAGACTATAATCCAATTATGAAGTAGAGTCAGCCCATAACATATTGCCTAGTTCACCACCATCACTTACTGTATATCTACAATAAAAACGAGGATCGGTAGTTGCCCGTGCTTGTAAGTAGGCAAGTGCAGCTTCACTATCACTATCCAAGATCTCCGACCTCCGATCCGCACTAACAAAATTGTAGACATCGGTCTTAGTGAAACCCAAGTTCTGAAAGCTTCTCGCACAATTCACTAGATAATCCATTATTTGATTGGTGCGAATACCAGCAGCCCTAAGTGATCGAATCTGAGCCTTACTTGCGTCATCTACCTTGCGACGAGAACTCAAAAACTGCACTTCATGTGCTCCAGCTAAGTGATGAAAATGTGTTGGTACAAACTGCTTCACCTTGAATCGGTTAGTTGCCTCAACAAAACTGACTTTGAAAGCTGCCGGACAATGGAGCCTTGTTACAGGCCTAGGTTCACGCTTTCTGTTCTCCTTGTCATTGTGCACTGGTTGACGCTCCCCCTCGCGTGAGCAAACCCATCCCTGCATATTTTTAACTCCATATTTTGAATATGTGTGAGTATTCTTTCGTACGTTGAATCCCATGGCACAACCATAAGTTGAATAGAACTTGGCAGCCTCCACAAGGGTTTCAAACTCATAACCCACAACATCATCCGACTCCCATTTAGAATATGGCTTACCATTCCCGACTTTATCAAGCAAGGTCCAGTCATACATACTCGAGTACGGTGGAGCCATGGCTGGATTTGCAGCATCTTTGTGTAGAGGTGCATCTGAGCTGTGTGGCTGTGTTTCGAAGCTGTGCAAATGCTCATCTGAGATGTTCTCTTTATCATCATCACCAAAGTTAGTGTTATTATCATCCTCAGAATCACTATCGCTGGTGTCGACATTGTCCTCCATATCGTCACTATCTCTAACACCACCGGTATCATCTCCATAATCCATTCCCCAATCTAAACCAACATTCAAGTCAATTACCGTGTCCTTGCCTGTGCTCATATCATCCATCAACCCTTCCATAGTTGATCAACTGAAAACAAGCAACAAAATGAAGTTTAGAGACAATTGAAATCCACATATTCACCACCCAAAACCGACCGAATCAATTGAAACAAACACGAGGCAAGACCGAGTTAAGCAAACTCAGCTCGATAGGTGCCATATCAGTTCTATAGTTTCCCCTTCACTTCTGCGACAAACCAACCATTCACAAATGAAAGAAACCATAGCCTAAACCGTACTCCATACCAAGAAGAACCCATAAGTCCCTGATTTCTCAAAAGAACCCAAAGTCCGGCGAAACCCATAAGTTTCCCAAGAGAACCCGTGAGTGCAAATAGAAATCGAAAATGAAGCAACTAGAACCGCACAAATCTGGACGAAAACCAACAATTTCCCAAAAAAACCCGTGGAACCCTAAATTCACAAGACTCAAAATCGAAATCTGAGGCTACTAGAAGCGCAAAACACACAGGTAAAGCAGGAGAAGAGGTAATCGTACTTGACGGAGCGTGATTGAGAGCGGTCTGCAGGTCTTCGGCGGCTGACGAAGGATGGGCGAATAAGGGAGAATGGAAAATCGATGGTTGCGTAGAGAAGGGAAGACGAAGGAAGGGAGATAGGAAGAATCTGGTTTCGTAATATTGGTGGAGAAGAGCCGACTAAGGACGACAATTAAGAACTGAGGCTGGGAGGGAAGCAGGAAGGAAGAAGTCGACAGGGAGGAACCGAGGATCAGTCCTCTGGCGCCGACGAAGGAGGAGAAGGAAGAAACGGCATCACTGTTACGACTTACGACGGTGAGGGTTTAGGATCTAGGAATTTCTTCATTATGACCGACCCAAATAATCATCGATTTACAATAACATGGGTTGAACCCATAACCGATAATCAAACGCTCATTCAACCATATACCTAACCTCAATCTCACATCGGTTCACAATTACATGGGGTTCAACCCAAAAACCGTAATCAAACACTCACTAAACCATATATCATCAACCAATCTCACATCGGTTCACAATTACATGGGTTCAACCCAAAACCGATAACCAAACGCTCATTCAACCATATACCTAACCTCAATCTCACATCGGTTTACAATTACAGGGGTTGAACCCAAAACCGATAATCAAACGCTCATTCAACCATATATCATCAACCAATCTCACATCGGTTCACAATTACATGGGGTTCAACCCAAAAACCATAATCAAACACTCACTAAACCATATATCATCAACCAATCTCACATCGGTTCACAATTACATGGGGTTCAACCCAATAACCGTAATCAAACACTCACTAAATCATATATCATCAACCAATCTCACATCGGTTCACAATTACATGGGGTTCAACCCAAAAATCGTAATCAAACACTCACTAAACCATATATCATCAACCAATCTCACATCGGTTCACAATTACATGGGTTCAACCCAAAACCGATAATCAAACACTCATTCAACCATATACCTAACCTCAATCTCACATCGGTTCACAATTACATGGATTCAACCCAAAACCGATAACCAAACGCTCATTCAACCATATACCTAACCTCAATCTCACATCGGTTTACAATTACAGGGGTTGAACCCAAAACCGATAATCAAACGCTCATTCAACCATATACCTAACCTCAATCTCACATCGGGTCACAATTACATGGGTTCAACCCAAAACCAATAATCAAACGCTCATTCAACCATATACCTAACCTCAATCTCACATCGGTTCACAATTACATGGGATTCAACCCAAAAACCATAATCAAACACTCACTAAACCATATATCATCAACCAATCTCACATCGGTTTACAATTACATGGGTTGAACCCAAAACCGATAATCAAACGCTCATTCAACCATATACCTAACCTCAATCTCACATCGGTTCACAATTACATGGGGTTCAACCCAATAACCGTAATCAAACACTCACTAAAAATCATATATCATCAACCAATCTCACATCGGTTCACAATTACATGGGGTTCAACCCAAAAATCGTAATCAAACACTCACTAAACCATATATCATCAACCAATCTCACATCGGTTCACAATTACATGGGTTCAACCCAAAACCGATAATCAAACATTCATTCAACCATATACCTAACCTCAATCTCACATCGGGTCACAATTACATGGGTTCAACCCAAAACCGATAACCAAACGCTCAATCAACCATATACCTAACCTCAATCTCACATCGGTTTACAATTACAGGGGTTGAACCCAAAACCGATAATCAAACACTCATTCAACCATATACATAACCTCAAACTCACATCGGTTCACAATTACATGGGTTCAACCCAAAACCGATAACCAAACGCTCATTCAACCATATACCTAACATCAATCTCACATCGGTTTACAATTACATGGGTTGAACCCAAAACCGATAATCAAACTCTCATTCAACCATATACCTAACCTCAATCTCACATCGGTTTACAATTACATGGGTTGAACCCAAAACCGATAATCAAACACTCATTCAACCATATGTACTAAAAGGCAAACGGACAATCAATTTTACAAAATATGTTAAGTAGTCTGACTGGTTAATGAGCTGAATTATTATGCCAAGTGCTCGGGTTCGAACCTTCCAAATGATGTTTTTTTTCACTAACTCACAGCAGCCCACAATCTCACGGGTGTGAGATTGTTCTTTCAAGACCGTGAGGTTCCCTGGACATAGGGAATGATTTATTGATTCTCACGGCCCAGTCTCACGGGCGTGAGACTCCCATCATTAAGGTGTTATAAAAATCCCATCTCACGTCCCAGTCTCACGGGCGTGAAAGATTCATCCTGCGTCAGAGACACTGAGAAATTACCATCTCACGGCCGTGAAAATGAATTATTGAGGCCGTGAAAAAGCCTGCTGGCAGGGTGAATAAGGTTCATTTTCAACCATTTTTCGTTATATGATCATTCATAACTTCTTCCTTGTCGACACATTAAACATAATATAGAGAAAAGATAACATCACTGAATAATGCTTCATTCATAACTTCATTGTAATTTCAACAGTTTCCTAAACTTCAATCAGCATCTACATTCACTAAAATTCATTCAACATCTACATTTTCCTAAACTTCAAAAAAACATCCACATTAACATCACAACTCTCAATGCTTCTTAGACTTTCTACCCTTTTTCTCCCCATGCGCGTGCAACGGCTTTCTTCCTTGATTGAGTAAGTTCGTCTTGAAATTCACCTTCTCAGTCTCAATTTGGGCAGGTCTCACATGACTGTCAAAATATTCTTCTGATTGTGTCGTAACTGTAGCTTTCACCTCATTCAAATGCGTCGTGAGCAAGTACATTGTAAGTTGTGCCCGTTCATAGTCACTGTCGAACTGGTCAAGCTTCTTGGAATATCGATCTGGATCCAGCAAGTAATTGGCGACAAATAGTCCACAATAAAATATGTAATATAACAAATAATTACCATGGTCATGATGCGAACAAATAATTATCGAACTTAATTAGAACAGTGCACGATTGAACAACAACAAAGGGTACCCATTTGGTTGGCAAGCAACATCCCGGCGATATCTAACCACAAAGTCCACAAATGAAAACGCCCCGCAGATATCATCCTTAAGCAACCAGTCTAGACCCAATTTCTGCAAATGAAAACACCCCCCTCATCGATTTTAACGACAAAGACGGCAAATGAAAAACGACTAACAACTAAGCAATAAGTCAAGTTTGAAAACTTGAAGAACAAGAAGCAAAGCAGTTTCTGCATCCTTGCATCATATTCTTGGTTATGAGTTCCTGGTATTGAGTCCCAGATTTCAATTTCTTTGGCTTCCATGTTAAAGACCGCCAGATAGAAGTGGGACAACGTGAGGTTGAAAATTGGGACATGAATCTGAAATAATGCACGAACAAACAATAATTATCAATTTAACATAGGAGTGTGAAGCCATTTCCTTTTAGAAAACAACATTACAACATACCTTACTGCAGTAAAGTAGCTCATTTATACGGTAACGCTCAAGTATCTTATATGAACGTATCTTAGCCATAAATTGCTCCTCGTTGCAATGATACGCACGATCCTAGAAAAATAAAATACAGTTACCCACACAAGCTACATGTAACAAACAAATAGATTAATTTCATGACAAGAATAGACAAAGCAGACAACTGTACCGAAACTGAAGGTGGAAAGAACCAAGACAAGCCACCACTGCGACCACAACTTCGTTCTTCTAGTGTCTTGCACATACACGCCATTTCTATAATCTAATGCATCATCATCACATATACCAAAGTCAGCAATACACGTTCAATCTACTAAATTACACACATAAAGGAACTCACCCTTGTTGAAATTCTGGTCCTGGGCAAAAACTCGACCAAATCTTCACGTAACAACTCAAGAGCCCCGCCAGCAAGACTAACCAATATGTCACTGTTATACAAGACCAAGTTCAAACACCACAACATTAGAATAAGGCAAATACCAAAAACATCCTACAGATATGATCCAATCTTACTTGTAATGATTTCGGGAGGTACCTTCCGGGAAGCGAACTACTAAAAGCAAATTGAATCATCTTTACTGCCTCCAGAGTCAATGGTGTCTGAACAACAAAGGGAGGAGCAAGGTACAAACGTTCGAATGGAGAGACCACATACAAACTAGGCTTCAATTTAGATACACTACGTAGTCCACCTCCCTATTGTTCAAAAACATAAAAACAAAACAAGTTCATTAGTAACCACACCATAAGTACAAATAATTAGAAAACTTAATAAAGTGTAATACCTTCACAGTCTTGGCACAACCATCATTAGCAGCAACACTTTCATCACTCAACAATACAAATTTCTCAACTTTAGACGCTTTCGCCTGCTTGCAAGGAGACTTTTTCACAACTTTGACAGAAGGAGATTCATAACCGCTGTCATCTCCAATTTCCCCCTCAGCTTCTCCCCAATTCTTAACACCTAACCCTTGAGTCTTGACACATTCGGAGGTAGGAGAAATGGTTCACTTGGTTTTTCAACCTCAGCCTTCTGATTGCCCTTTTCCCCTCTGATAAGCTGCTCCGTTGACAACAAAACAGCTGCAGAAGCTTTCACATTATCAGCCTCATCCTTCTGATCGTTCTTTTTCAACTCAGTAGGCTGCTCCCTTGACAACGGATCACCTATAGTTGCTTTCACTGCCTCTATAATGGACTTCACTTGACTACCAATTTCGTCTCTAAAAGCCCGAAATTCGTTCTCCATATTCACAACCCGACTCATTAGCTCATTATCTCTGGAAGCAGCATCACCGATTGCAACTCTAAATTCTTGCCTAAAGTTGTCAATTCTACCCTCCATGGTACTAAACCGAGCGTCAATACGCTCACAGAGAAGCAGCTCATCACCGTCGGGTTTTTGCCGTTTTCCATCTCTTTTTTCCCGTTTCCTTGCAGGTGATTTCAAACCTGCATCCTCAGCTGATCTTTTACCCGAACTGCTGGAAACCTATAAATTAATTAAAAAGGGAACCAAATGTACCATTAGCATGCTCCAACTCGTCAAAAGAATCAAATATACTATCAGTCTTACCACGTTTGTTAACAATAACTCTACGTCTCCGCTCCCCCAACTCATCAAATCCAAACTCCCATCAATGGTATGGAAAATACCATTTGCATGCTCCAAGAATATTAACTACAAAAAAAAAAATACTATAATCAACATGATGATTAATCATTACAAATATGTAGAAAGTAGGGATTAGCAATTATTTACCTCCAAAAACAGCAACCAACCCGGTATATACTTTCTCCCCTCAGCATTATGGTCGCATATGCATTTGACCAATTCATTGAAGCAAAACGATGCCCAATTCTTCTTCGGAATATCTACAACATCGAGGACAGCGTATACCGAAGATAACGAAAAGTCATCTCTTCTAGTTGGTACTAATAGCACCCCCATTACGTACAAAATAAACGTTTGAAGAAATAGATCGCTGCTATCTTTCATCTCCGACAACGCCTTCCGCATTAAGCTTGTGGAAATCGCCTGTCGGGCACAATCAGCTGTCGAATACACTCTAAATGGATTCAGTTCCTCGGATCTTCGTCCCACTTCTTCACCATTCAAGATGATATCAGTACCTCCCTCAGGCACGCCCATAATTCGCTCGAAATCTTTGGCCGAAATATGGACTTTCAACCCATAAGCCTGAATTGAGCTTTCTTCCAGATTAAAGCTCTTCAAAAGGATCTCCAACAACTCACGTTGGAGCATTCTTCCTTTGACTTCAAGCATATGACCAAAGCCACATCTCTTAATGGCCTCTGATTGACAAGCCTCTAAATTTGAGACTAGTGAGAATACTTTCCTAGGAGAACAGCGGGTGCTAAAAATTTCATGACTCTTCGTCTTCATTATAGAACAATTTTAGCAAACTGCAAAATTAAAACAACACAAAAATTATAAGCATGCCTTGAAACACGAATTATAAGCATGTCGAAGAGTACTAACAAAATACACAAAGCCAGAGTCGTCCACCACTGATCTAAAGAAGCAACTTTCAATTTTCACACTTAAACACATTCGAGAAAACGTGGTTATGACAAAGTTTCATTCGAGAAAAGGATCATTTAATCATTCGGTAAACACATTCTCCAGGTAATGAGTTCAATCCTGGTTTTCAATATATGGCTTTTATCAATATTGAACAAATGCAAGACTATACCAGAGCTCACAAGCACACTTGCCTCGATATCAAGTTCTAACTACCAGAAGAACTGAAAACCCCCTACATCAACACCTGAGTACACTAATTAACCATGAAATCCGCCATTGGCATATATAAATTTCACCCAAAACACCGAGCTTCCATTAAATTTCACCCAAAATGCAAATTCTCACGGCCGTGACATGACCCGTGAGAAGCAAAGAGTAGTTTTCATATCCCAGACAATCTCACGGCTTTGGCTTCAAAAATCACGGCCGTTAAAATAAGCCGTGAAACTAAAAACACCGATAAAAATTTCACCCAAAACACCCAGCTTCCATTAAATTTCACCCAAAATGCAAATTCTCACGGCCGTGACATGACCCGTGAGAAGCAAAGAGTAGTTTTCATATCCCCAGACAATCTCACGGCTTTGGCTTCATAAATCACGGCCGTTAAAATAACCCGTGAAACTAAAAACACCGATAAAAATCTGCCATATTCATTAAGCTAGCGAGCATAAGATCAATCTATTACTGAGCACAAACTTCAGTGGAGGCCCATCAATGTTCGATTTCAAAACTTCTCCAGTACTCTTCCACTTGCTAGTATAAGATACAGTGATCTGGAAACATATCAAGAAGCTAGAGACAAAGTTTTTTTAAAGTCTAACCAACCTACCAATTAATTTGCTAAAAACGAGACAATTTGATGATACAATCAACTAGTAAAGATTTCCAAACTCTACAGACTCACTCTGCCAGTATGAGAGAAGTACAGTTACAAAGACATCAAGATTTCAGGACCCTGCAGTTAGCATTTAAACATAGCAGAATCATGCATGCAGTCCATTCTGGAAATGACACTCAACCAAGTTTCTCTCATTTATGCTTTTCCTTTTTCACTTTTATGAACTAAATTTGTTTCTGGACTGAATATTTGTCCTGCATTTCAAATTAAACTTTGTATTTCAAAGAAGAAGAGCTGGATATGCTCAAATCTGAGTTTCAAAATAATGGATGTGATGCTTGTTGATGTATTCAGAACTACTATTTGTTTGCAATTATGGCTTTAGCTTATGGTTGTTCTCATTAGTCATTTTAGCTACCAGATTCATATCATATCTAAATCCAAGGCTAGTTCAAAAAACAGATTTCAGAGATTGTAATAAACAAACAAAAAGGTTTAACCTGGAAAATCAGACACCATGCCCCTGTTCTTTTCTTCTGTTTTGTTCTAAGGCTCCCTTCTACATCTAAACCCGCCCATGTTCTTTTGGACAAAAATCATAAACCACACACAACTTACAACTTTTGAGAGCTAAATAACATGACCACGAGCATAGCCACTAAGCTTTCCATAACCCATGACACCACCATAAACACTCGCTCTATTTCCATCCAAACTGGCTAAAACTCAAGTCACCCTGATTTCATGAACTAATTCTTGAACCCATGACACCACCATAAACACACACTCAATTGCACCTTTCATGCAGCAGCAAGACCCTTCAATTAACAGTCCAAAATGTAATCAACAAGCAACGGTAACGACACTACAATACCAACAAGACCAAATCAACTCTTCCAAAATTTTCTCTGCAGACTCAGTTTGAAGGCAAACAACAATCCAACTTGTCTCAAGCCAAACTGAAAAGAATCAAACTTTGAGTATGAACTTTCCTATTCGATTTGCCTCCATAAAACACAAATCAAGTCTCTCCAAACAAAAAGTTAAAACTGGCATGCATAAAGGAAGGAACACAATCGCTAGCTAGGTCAGATTTGACACTAAATCAGTCAATATATAGCTAATTATCAAGCTAAACACAAAGAAGATAGTACAAGGACATCAACCTGGTCAAAGGACATGACCAATTAAACTCATAAACCTAAAACGAGCATGGAATTTCAATCCCCCTACCGAAATGTGTAAATCTAGAACATCCCAACAACGAATGCAACAAATTCGGTCGATACAAATGCCCCCTTGAAGAATGAAGAACAACAGACTTCCTCCACCACCATTACCACCAAAGCTTCCCCACAAAAAGGAGAATCATTAACCACAAAAACAATGAATGCTGTGAATTCGTCCGATTCGAATCCTCCCACGAAGAAGATGGAAGAACTACAACAACAACATCCATCCAAAACTTCCTCACCAAAGGAAGCATCATCAACAACCACAACCGCAACCACAACAACAACAACCACAACTGCTGTGAATTCTTCAGACTCGAATTCTTCTACCCTAACAACAGAAGAACCCAATGCTCCTCCTCAACAGAAAAAGATTGAGGAACAACAACAACAACAACAACAACAGCCTGCTAAGGATGTTGCTGAAACGGAGACAAATCAAGCACAACCTCAACAGCAAAAACAAGGTGAAGAGAAGGTAAATGCTGCAAATTCTCCTTCAAAACAAGTGAAGGAACAACAGGAACCGCCATTGCAGCTAATTATCAAGCTAAACACAAAGAAGATAGTACTAACCGAAAAAAGTTGCGGTGGAGGAGGTAGGTCAGCGGTCTTCGTTTGCTATCGATGGGAAGAGGGGGTTCTGTGCAGGGTCTTCATTTGCTATCGATGGGAAGAGGGGGTTCTGTGCAGAGTCTTCGTTTGCTATCGATGGGAAGAGGGTCTTCGTTTGCAATCGACGAAGAGATGCTCGCTCTCGTCGTCCCTTGCTCGGCGCCTTCACTGTCGTCGTCGGAATCCGGCTCGCTGCCTTCACTGTCGTCGTCGAAATCCGGAATCCTAATCGCTGCAATCGACAAGCTTCTTCTACTCGTCGTCACCCACTGCTCGCCGTCTTCACTCATCGTCACCCACTGCTCGCCGTCTTCACTGTCGCCGTCTTCACTGCTCGCTAGCTGCATGGAGAGGATCGAAGGAAGGAAGAGGATCGAAGGAAGAAGGGTTTCGGCGGTGAGAAGAGGTGAGAAGAATGGTTTCGAAGGAAGAAGAGTTTAATTGGTTTCAGACAACCGGTTGTACCGGTTATCAACACACAAATAAAATAATAAATTAATAATTTAAATAAAATCTAATGGTTGATATAGTTTGGACATGATCTAATGGCTGTAAATGTTTTATAGTACCAATACTATAAAGCACACTAAAATGCCTCTAAAAAAGTATAGCACTCGATTAGTTCCGGAAAAATGTCATTGGTTATAGTTCAAATTAAAGAAGTATAGCGTCCGCATTAGCTAGTAGCTACAGTTCATGCTATTTGATGTAGGCGGGGCACTATTCAGAAAAGATTCCATACTGCGCCAAGTCCAATTTCAACTTACCCATATAACAAATGAGATTTGTTGTGTTACCTTGCAAAATAACATACATAATGAGTTGTCAATGGAATAAAAGACAGGAACGTAAAAGGATGTTGACTTGAGCCAAATAATTCGGGTGTAAGGTAAAATCCATAAACGTGGTTACAAAACATGGGGATTTCTGTTTCCTCCAACACATATTGATACAAAACAAATGATTCAACCATGGAATTCCAAACAACACTTCCTCGGTCACAGGGGCGGAGCTAGGATCCAGTGGTCGGGGGGCTTTATTGTATAATATCAGTAAAAAAATTAATATTTATATAGTGAGTCATAAGTTTCAAAATTTAATTATCTAGACTCCAAAATTTAATTATCTAAATTAGAAAAATTTAATAAGCTCCAAAATTTCATTATCTAGTTTGAACTTTGAAATTAAAAAGTATTTGAATAAGTACAAAAGTTAAGTGATCAGACTAAATTTTAAACAAAAACTCAACCAAAGTAGGAAAACTAAAAAAACAATGTTGCTGCCAGGTATTGAATCACGGTACTGGGTATTCACAAATACCAGGCAGCTGCTGCATTCCGTTAGACTAGACCGAGAAATTGTTACTCATTATTGCACGTATTGCTATTCTACCATAGTTAACTTCTAAATCAAGAGCTTATGTCATCAGCGAAAGAAATCCAAGTGGATCCCAATTTTGAGCAAATAATCTCACGTTGAAAAGGAATTAATTGAGAAGCAGAAGCAAATCACATCAAAATCCATGGGAAAAAATCTTTTGTGATCAACGAAGAAACCCACCTGAATCCTGATTTTCTCACCTGAAGAGACCACTCAATGGAGAAGCAGAAGGAAACATTGTTGTACTATATAACGAAATCATAGCCAAGATGGGAGACTGAATTCGACTCGTTGCCAGAGGAGAAACCAGTTTCGATCGTCTTCCTAGAGGCTGGCGCATTCTTGAGCGGAATGCAATTGAGGGTAGGAAGGCACCGCCAAGCCAACGCCAAAACGTGGGATTATTTAAGAAAGGGAAAAGATATGAAGAAATTAAAGGAGGGACTCGCCGATGGCAAATCAGCACCAAGAAATAAAAACCTGGCGAGATGAAGTGGTGAAGAAAGAGCAGGGAGTCAATGACGATGAAGAACGAACAGTCGATGAAATTGGGTACATTCTGTCTCTAGTGAGCGAAACAAAATCACAACCCTTTTCCCATTGGTCTAATGAAGCAAAGATAGACTTTCGGGCCCAAGTAGTTAGAGAACAAAGCACGTTGCTAACCGGACTCCGGACGGATGCCAGAAATGGAACGCAACGCTCCATTTAATTGGGGTAAAATGACCGTAATACCCTTCGGTGAAACCCTCAGAAGCCAACAATTTCAAAATCTTGAAAATCTAACCTTTGTTTTGCTATTATATCTTTTGTAGATAGATATGAGAAGTTTTTTTTGGCTAAATTACCTGCTTGGTCACTCAAATTATATAAATCTTTCACGTTTGCCACCCAAATGATTTTTCTTTCACATTCACCACTAACTTTACGATTCGTTTCACCGTTAGTCATCGACAATTAGTCTCTGGATCGTTAAATAATGACATGTCAATCTAAAAAAATAATAAAAAAAATTATTAGACATAAATAAGACCCCACCTATGACCCACCTAACTAGGGGGTGGAAGTTTGGTTTGCGGGTTGTGGGTAACCCTCAAACCGCACCAAACCGCACACTTTGTGGATACCCATACTCACAATTTGTGGATAGTGGGTTGGGTATGGGTAGCAAAATATTGATTTTTGTGGTTAGTGGTTAACCACTACCTACAACGGTTTACCCACAAAATCCACATTAACCACATTAGTTATATTTATTTCTTCAAAATACTTTGTAACCCACATTAACCACATTAGTTATATTAGTTTGTGAAACTTGGAAGACTAAGAATTAAAGTAGCTACCAAAATCAAATATACACTTATTCTATAAAAAAAACCAAGTCAATACGCAATGTTCATGTGAGATACTTTTATTATATAAGCATTTTCCCTGTGGTATATGTTTATTTTATAACAAAACCAAGTCCATAGATATAGTCAGATAAATTAATCGATTCTTTAAAAGAGGGGAATAATCGATAAAGGTTAGTCATATACTCAAATTCATCTCCATTTCTCCACGAACTCACGAATAACACAACATGCAACCAACTACCAACAACACAAGACTATAATCGAGAGTGGAGAATAATCAATTCATAAAAACCGGGCGCCTTCACTTATCGAACCACTTTTGTGTTTTGCTGTTGTTGCCATCGAGGAGTCGTGACATGCAACGATGTTAGTCTGCTAACATATCACTCCGCCTCTCTGTTATTTCAAATCTCTTTCCAAATCCATCTCTTCTGAATTTACACTAACTAACCTATTGTATTCGAGATTTATAATTTATTTTACACTTTATTAACTTTCTTTTATGTATGTTTTTGTTTTTGTGTGAGAAGAAATATAACATCACTATTTAATTACAATATTATTATATTTAATGTGAAATTTTTGTGGGTATCCACAACCAACCCGCACCAACCGGCAGCGGGTAGTGGTTATACCACTACCCACTGCAGACGGGTTGTGGGTAGCATAATTCTATATTTATTGGTGTGGTTACCCGCAAAATGTGGGGTGGGTTACACCTAACAACATCAAACACCTATGACCTACCAATGGATATTGAGTTGGAATCAGGCAGACACATTCGGCGACGACGACCCTTGCCACCGCCACTCCGATGCAACATAACCAAGTGGAAGCTTCAATGCAACGACTACAATGGCAAAGGCGGCGACCCCAATTCCTCCACAAGGTCTTCTTCTTCCCCCGACCAATAATCATACATTCCAAAATTTCTCAACCTCCTGAATACTCTTGTCTTCGAACAATAACTACTTCAAGCCTTTGAACGACGAGCGAGGATGACTGCCAGAGACTCGATGGTGGTGGAAACGAAGGAGAACGTCAGGGCGAACGGCGATGGGCCCGGATCCGAGGCCAGGAAGATGAGGAAGCTCGATTCAGAGGAGGCGAATTCGATAGTCAGACTAGATAATTCCACCGACGATCCCTCGACGAGGATGTTAAAACGTCCCCGATTGGTGTGGACTCCGTAATTGCACAAGCGATTGGTGGACGTGGTGGCATATCTAGGTCTTTGTGGATGAATTGCTTGCCATTCTGGGTTGTTGGGTTCACATGCCATTCTCCAAATTCTAGGTCAATAAACCAATCCAGTGCGAAACCTTCACATCCCCGACATCGGAGTTTCCCACAACGTTCAATGACCGATCCTGCTCGAAGCTCTCATACGCCGCACCGGTGGGATGTCGCCGCTGGTGAGAACCACAATATTGACCGCCGCCGCCATGAAAATCAGCAGGGATTCGTGCCCTAATTTGGCCGCGAGAAGAACATTGAGACCCAACGGTGGGGAGGGCGAAGAAGACTAGAAGGTGGGGCCTCATTTTTTCTATTTTTTTTTAAATTGACATGTCATTATTTAACGATCCGTTTGCACGTCGTAAAAAAACTGACAGAGGCAATGGAGACTAATTGCCAATGACTAACAGTGAAATGAACCATAAAGTTAATAACGAATATGAAAGAAAAATAATTTATAACGCAAACGTGAAAGATTTATATAATTTGAGTGACCAAACATGTAATATTTTTTTTTCTTCATTAACGTTCAAATTCCCGCCTGTCTCACCTCTCATTTTGTTTTGTTTTTTCCCCCCTTCTCTCGCCATCTTTTCTCTTTTGACCAAAATCATTCTACTCCCCACTCTCGCAGCAAGCACTGTAGGCGTATCCACTGGCTGTCCTCAACGGGCGAAAACAGACGCCATAGCGGTAACTTCGCTCCGATCTCTGCATCTTGTTGCAACACAGCGGCCGAGGCATCGTCGGTTTCTGGCGAATTAAACCCTAGCGGTTTTCACTTCACCGCCCAGCCAAGCATGAACCGTTTCCACATCTACGAAGCTATTGGCCGCGGCAAGTGCTCGGTGAGTCTCCCGCACGTAGCTCGTTTGCAAGCTCTCAGAACTTCGATGGTCTCTGGTTCTAATTCTTGTTGCGTTACTGCTGCTTTTTTCCTTTGTCGTTTTTATGCGCTCCAGACTGTGTATAAAGGGAGGAAGAAGAAGACGATTGAGTACTATGCAATTAAGAGTGTAGATAAATCGCAGAAGAGGAAGGTTCTTTACGAAGTAAGGCTTGGATGATTCCTCCATTTCAGTTCGCGATTCGATCTGTGTTTTTTTTAAAGATTCCAGCTTGTTACTTCAGTTCTGTATTTACTTTCCTTTCTCTGCAAATTGAGTTTGCCTGAGAAGGTTGGTTAGTCAACTAGAGTTCAATCATGAATTTGATACGTTTTGCTCTCAACTTCAGAATGTGAAATTGATTCATCGGTCTGCGATTGAATTTGAGATGGCGGTTGTCTTTCTCCATTTGTATTTCTGTTCAGAATTTCGATCTGTACTTTTTTGGTGAATTAAAAGCTGAAAGAAACGTTTTTGTTTTTGTTCTACGGAGAGATATGAGTTCGTGCATTGATTGTGGCTGGTTCGTTTGGTTGTAGGTTAAGATTCTTCACTCTTTGGATCACTCAAACGTGCTGAAGTTTAACTCCTGGTAAGCATGCATTTGAAGAGATAATGCTTGAACTTTTCATCAAAATTTACAGTCCGAGAGGGTTTTATTGAAAATGTTGAGAAACATCGAAAAGGCAACAATTTTTGTTTTGTTTTTTGTTTTAACTCTAGACATCTTGCATTTGATTTTGTCATGTACACCTTTCGAATTGTAACTAGCACCCTTAAATTTGGAATAGGTACGAGACTTCTGCTCATTTGTGGTTAGTTTTGGAGTATTGTGTTGGAGGAGATCTCAGGACATTGTTACAGCAGGTATTGTGATGGCTTCCTGTGCACATACCTATGTTTCCTTAACTAACATTTTTAGTATTTCTGCTCGAAAACATTCGGGAATGTTAATATGATGGCTGAAATCGGAGCATATGGATCGCAGGATAGTCAGGTACCGGAAGACTCAGTTCAGGATTTCGCACTTGACTTGGTGACAGCCTTGCAGTAAGATGTGCTCGACTGGTTTGCACTTTGAGTAATTTGTATGTTTCTCTTTGTGGGACTTTATGTTGCTATTTAACTGGTGCCAGGTATTTACACTCAAAGGGGATCATCTATTGTGATTTAAAACCATCAAATATCCTCTTGGATGAAAATGGACTCTTAAAGGTGATCATGGATTTTGCCTTTCTTCTCTGTTGAATTATTGTCTCTGCTTTTACCATGCGCCTGACTTACACTTTAATGGTTTTAAATTTTAATGCAGCTTTGTGACTTTGGATTGGCAAAGAAGCTAAGTGATATATCTAAAACACACTCTTCGGTATGTGATTGAGATTAATGCGTTGGGTTTTCAACTTTGTTTTTCTTATGACGTTGAGATTGTAACCTTCCTTTTATATACATGTTTAGTCAACAGAAGCCAAATGTGGAACGCCCTGTTACATGGCTCCTGAGCTGTTCGAGGATGCAGGTGTCCATTCCTATGCTTCTGATTTTTGGGCCCTTGGTTGTGTGCTATATGAGTGCTATGCAGGGAAACCTCCTTTTGTGGGGAAAGAGTTCACCCAGCTAGTGAAGTCCATTGTCTCAGATCCAACTCCACCACTTCCTGGCAATCCAAGTAGACCCTTAGCGAACTTGGTCAACTCTCTCTTGGTCAAGGATCCTGCTGAAAGGATTCAGTGGAGTGAGCTCTGTGGGCATGCTTTTTGGAAAAGCAAACTTCCTCTGATGTCATTACCACCACAACCTGCTTTTGATAGCATGATTGAATTTTATGCTAGGCCATGCCTGTCAGAACACAACAGAGACAGATCTCTTCAAAACAAAACCCCCACGAAAGGTCGTGAAAGAGATGCAAGAGTGACTCCAAGAAAAGATGAGAATTCACAGTCGGGATTAAGAGGTTTTGAGACCCCAGTCAAGGGAACACCTGGCAGCAAAAGACCAACAAAGGCCTCCGGCAGAGCAGTTGAGGAGAAGCAGAAAGATAATTCTTCTGCTAACAGACGCATTAATCTGTTAAGGTTATCAAGAGTAGCTAAGACAAATTTGCAGAGGGAGAATGAGAAGGAAAACTTCAGGAGGCCCTTGGCTAATGCCTCTGAGAACGATTCAGAGATTAAAATGGAGAACACAGATATGGAGTTTGATTTCAATGAGAACACAGAAGATGACACACAAGATGAACCCGAAGGGAGTGAGAATTCAATTTGTACTCCTGGAAGGGTTGATAACCATGTTCAGCCAATGGACATTTCTCCTGTAACCAACACCCCTGCATTAGATGATCAAGGAACAAATGACTTAGAACCACCATCAGAGACTGCTGACATGGGAGGTGATACTCCAGTCAGTGCCAGTCCTCAGCCTAAACATCAGAGAGTTAAAGAAGGTTTGGGGTCGGCACATGAATTTGACTCCTCAAAGTCTTCTAATAACATCCCCGAAGTACTTTGGCATCCATCTGATCTTTCAGTGAGACCTGTGATGCCCAGCAGAAAAGGGGATAAGACACATGAGGCACCTCCTTCTCTTCCTTTTGAGGCATTGCAGCCAACTGAATTGTTGAAGATGACCAAAGAGCAGCTTCATTCAGTCAATGCAAAAATTGTATCAATATTTAATGGCAACACCAGTGTTGGGGAGAAACAGAATGTAATTAGATACCTTGAGATGTTGAGCAACAATGCTGAGGTAGCTAACATCTTCACTAATGGACCAGTGATGCTCATACTCGTTAAAATGCTTCGGTTGTCCAAGGCTTCAACATTACGAGTGCAACTTGCATCACTAATTGGCTTGTTAATTCGTCATGCTACGTTTATCGATGATGATCTGGCAAATTCTGGTATATTAAGTTCCCTTACAGATGGCCTCAGGGACAGGCAGGAAAAAGTAAGGAGATTCTCGATGGCTGCTTTAGGTGAGTTACTGTTTTACATAGCCACCCAGAATGATCAATCTAAGGACAATAATCCATCTGAATCTCCGGCAAAAGACAACAGTAAATCAGTTCCTGGCTGGCAGGTTAGATTAGCATCTTTGATTTATGAACTCATTTTTATTAGCTTACACTGTGCCAAGTACATTTCTTAAGAGTTCATTAATTGAATCGTCCAGTCCTGGAGATATGCATAGTTCATTCTGTTAAGTATGTTTCTTCACGCATCTCTATTTAAAAGTCATTTTCATTAGTTTACAGAGCACTTCTACTATGCTATATAGCATTGGTGCTTTAATGTACAACTCAAAGTTGTACCATAACATTAAATGTATAAGTTTAGGTTGTACCATAAAACAATTTGTACCATCACATAAAGGTACAAGTTCAAGTTGTACCATAAAAGAATTTGTACAAAAAGTATAGGCACAATATGAAGTTGTACCATAACGTAAATGTACAATTTTAAGTTGTACCATAAAGGCAAAAACCTATAGCACTAATACTATATAGCATTGTAAAATTTCTCCTAGTTTACATTGTCTGTAGTATATTTCTTAACAGTTCATAGTGGATAGTCTGAAATTATACTAGTTCTCTTAAAAAGAACTCTTTGAGTTGGCACCTGAACAAATAGTTGTATGTTGAGTTCTTCTCATATGCATACCAGCTTTGTCCTTCTCTGATCAAAACTATTATCCATGAGGCAGGTTCCGAACTCGCTCATCTCAATGGTATCCTCAGTTCTACGTAAAGGAGAGGATGATATAACTCAGCTTTATGCCCTGAAAACAATAGAAAATGTATGCAGTCAAGGGGGTCATTGGGCTACACGATTCACTAGTCAAGACGTGATCAGTAACCTATGTTACATATACCGTGCACCAGGAAAACAGGAGAGCATGAGGATGACTGCCGGTTCATGTCTGGCTCGACTTGCCCGGTTCAATCCTTCTAGCATTCAATCAGTCATGGAGAAACTATCCTTCAAGGAGGCAGCAGCTTCAATTATCAAAGGCAATGCTCGTGAACAGCAGATAAGTTTGAACCTCCTAAACATGGCCATGCTCGGAAGTCATTTGTTCACAAACATTGGAAGACATCTTCTGCCTCTCGTTGAAGATAAAAATCTCGTGCCCTCTCTTGTTTCTCTTGCCGAGCAGGGTAGTGAAATCTTGAAAGGGAAGGCACTAGTTCTCATTGCACTTCTCTGCAAGAATGGTAGGAGGTGGCTCACACACTTCTTCTGCAACGACAAGTTACTGTCTTCTGTGGACAGGCTGGCCAAAGAGAAAGATGGCTTCCTCCAGCGATGTCTTGATGCATTTTTGCATGTTTTTTCATCAATTGTACCTAGCTTGTTGGATTTGATTGCCGGAGATATCCAGCAAATGATCGGAGGAAGACGGCATGGCCAGATATCTGGCACTCCAAGTCAGGTTGCTTCTAAGACCAGCGTACACTTCTTCCCGTTTGTCCTTCTACTTCTTGGAAGTTTGTCCTTGAAGCTTAGGGTGGTGAACAGCCATGTGCTGCAACAGCTGGCGACCCTCTTAAAACTTGTGGAGACTTCATTTCAGGTAAGATTCTGAAGCTAACCTACTTGTGATGTTCGTTTTCCTTTTTGTCAAAAGATAGCTTGCATTACCTAGAATGTCAACAACCATAAACAACCGAACTTCTGATGTTTACCCAGACGGTTTTTACGTATCCGATTCATGTGGAGTATGCTCTCTCTTTACCTTCAGGATCGTTTGTATGTGGAAATCAGTGGAATATGTCTAACATTTTATTGATTACTATAGTAATGGTGTAAGAAAATTCCATCTTTTGCATTGCATTGTTGTGGAATGTGGATTTTTAAGAGAATCTCACAATCTCTTCATTGCAAGTGATTTGAGATCTCAGAAGATAAGTAACTGGAAGCTAGAGATGTGTCGATTCCATGTTATGTTACCCAACTTTTTGCATGCCTACCAAGGATTGTTGACATCAGAAGAATTCTCTTTTACATTTACTTCTGTTCTCCTCATACTTTGTAACTTGATTGACGTCAAAATAAGGTCGCGTGTGTGGCTAACTAATCTGTTCTGTTTCGTTCATTTCAGGGGAGAGATGACTTCCAAATCACGCTTCTTCAAGTTCTCGAATACGTTGTAGAGGAGTCTCCTCTGATCTTAGCAAACCCTAAAATCTTCGTCGGTGAAATCCTCCCCAGCCTGGCTACTCTGTACAAGGGCAACAAAGACGGCCACGCCAGATTCCTCTGTCTGAAAATCCTATTCCACGTCATGGTCATCTTCTTAAACGAACCATCCCAAGACGACGATAAACTCTCCAAAGCTCTGAACTCCATAGCCAATGTCCACTTCCTACCACTCTACCCCACTCTTGTAGAAGACGAGGACCCAATCCCGATCTTCTCCCAGAAGCTGCTCGTCATGCTCATCGACTTCAACTTCATCAAAATCTCCGACATCCTACACGTCAAAACAGTCTCCCAGTGCTTCGAGTTCCTGCTCGGAGACCTCTCCAACGCAAACTTCAGCAACGTCAAGCTGTGTCTAGCCATGGCCTCCGCCCCCGAAATGGAATCCAAACTTTTCTCTCAGCTCAAAGTAGTTCGAAGAATTAGCAATCTCCTGGAATTCGTCTGCGCCAAAGACATGGAAGATTTCCTTGAGCCAACTCTCGGCCTATGCAGAGCCTTCCTTCTTCGCTCACTCAACCGCGAACAGGGGTCCGCGTTCAGAACCCAACCCTCGCTCTTAACCGCCGCCGGTGGGCTTTCTTCCGGCGGCTCCGTGGACGGAATACGAGACGTGATGGACTTCAGCAGCAATGTCGGTCTGTGGTTGGAACTCAGTTGTAACGCGTCGACGGAGCCGAACGTGGTCGAGTTAGCTTCCGAATGCGTTGTCTTGTTACTGAAGGCAGCTCCATGGGAAGCCACAACTGGGTTTCTAACCAACCTGCCAAAGGTCAGCACAATCCTCGAGCCATGGCGCAGGGGAGTCCCGCGCCTGATTCTACTCCGGGCGCTGCATGCTCTTTGCTATGCTTGCCGGCAGTACTTATCTCATGCAATGATACTGTCGATGTCAGTCGCTGAGGTTTCGAGGGTACAGGGGATAGTTATGGAGATCAAGGGTTCCGCCGGCGGCGATCTCTCCGACGCTGCTTCGCTTGCTGGGTTAGAGTTGCAGCGGCTGCCTTGGCACCTTTGATGTACTGCTGAAGGTTTTTCTCTACTGTCAATTCGTGTTTTCACTACTGCATCTTTTTCATTTATTTACTCGTCTCTTTCTTTTCTCTTCCAGATGCAGTATTATTGGCGAAGGGTTCAATCATTGGTATATTATATATCTGCAGATCCAGGTGAGTTCCAACTGTTGGGAATGGTGTCATTTTGGCCTCTTGCTGTATGATAATTGTATTCCCTGTATCAACTCGAAAAGTGTCCAATTTATTTATTACCTTTTCCCTTAATTTTTTTTTTTTGCTTTTTCGCAGTGCTTTCTATCTTTTCTACTTTATACCTCTTTGTTTGGGTTCTTTTGTCTTTTGGAATTGATTCGCCTTAGGCTTTAGCAGCAGTACCTCCATTAATGCATTGCTTAACATCTAGATTTACTGGAGTCCCTCTTTCAGATCTCTCATGAACTATTATTCATTGTCCCACATCATTGAATTACTTTCGAGGTAGTAAACCTTTTGCCTATATGCGGAGTGGTTGACTTCCACAGTTTCACTGACTTCACTAACCAGTAAGATAGGGCTGTACTCTAAAGCCATAGATCTATGCTTTTTGGTTATCTTCTTCCAGGTGCTCACAAACACAAGTGCCGTTCTGCTGTAATAACCCGACTATGCTGCTCACAACCATAATGTAAAAACGTGCTTACAGGCGCACAGAGCTGATGAATCGATGCAATGACGATTACCAAGTTGATTCAATGAGCGCTATACGTCCACACACGATTCAACGGTCTCACATAATGGCTGTGAGCATTTTAGCAAAATTGCTGCTATAAGGTATCTATTATCAGATTCCTTGAACTCTTAGTAACTTCTGCATTTTTTTTTTATCTTTAGGAGCTTTGAGGTACTGTCTATAAACCATCATCCTAGGATGAAAGGAATCTTAGCTTCAAACAAACATATCATATCAAAACAAAAACCCCAACCCAATCTTTGTCTGTTTCCTCAACATGCCAACCTTGCAAATTTTCCATCATTGCCCACTCATCACATGCTTGATCCCACCTTTGAAAAAAAGGTCTCCAATCAACCCCCCATTTTTTCCCTTCTATTCTTTAACAAAAGCCACCCTACCAAAAGGCTCCTCTCCACTGTCCCCCAACTCTGCCTTTGCTCCTTTTAAAGTGAGAGTTGCTTTCCATCATTAGACCCCAAAAAAAAAACCCACAAAAAAATGGCTTCTTCTTCTTCATCTTCTTCCTTTTCGCTCCTCTCGATACTCATGATTTCAGCAACCATCCTCTTCTTCCCTTCTCTCACTACTTCTCAACCTTCCACCATCATCCCAGCTTCTCCAGCACTCCCAGAAAACTCCTCTCCCCTCTCCCCTTACGAAGAGCTCTCCCCTGACATTGCTCCATTGCTGCCCACCCCCGGCGGCGAATTGCCGTCGCCGTCGGTGGCTTCCATCCCCACCATTCCTTCCAACCCAAGCACTCCTAACCCGGACGAGTTCGCCGCCGCACAAGGCCCCGCCGCCGCCGCTTACGGCCCTTCTTTCTCACCACTCGGCTCTCTCCCAGTTTCCTCTGCATTTTCTAACAACTCTCCTTACTTAGCACTCTCTGTACTCTGCTCTGCAATTTTCTCCACACAGCTGCTAAAAACGTGGAGCTCTTGTTTCTTGAGCATCCCCGCTTAGTTTCCTTGTTCATGGTTCAGTCACGAGTGTGTTTTTACTGTAAGTAAAGCTTTTTCAGTGTTAGTGGGTTCGGTGCAACTCTGTAGATGCTCTTAATATTGTCGTTTATCTTTAATGGTGTCGTCGTTTTGCGGATGGATTGTGTTCAAAATTGCAATTGAAAGAGATGAGAGCGTGGGCACATGGTGCTTGTGCTTGCTCTATGACAAGAGTATGGGAAGCCAGGTCAGGTTGTTTTGTTTGTATTGGGTAAATAATACATATCCCCACATGTGATTTGAGGCACAAACCAGCAAGATCTTGGATTTAGGTGGTGGGTGGGAGGGAACATTTCGGTTGAAAACATCTGCCATCTTCTGCTCTGGTTGAGTGATGGGGTAATATAATAGTTGTCGTTTGGGTTAGTCTTGGATCTGGGTTTTGTCAGCAGCTTGTGTGTCATCATTAGGAAGCTTTTCTTCAAGCTTTGTATGATTGAGAGTCTAATAATTGGCCTGAGAGATTTCTAATAAGTGGATCTAAACAATATACTTAGGAACTTTGATGTTAATTGCCTATATATGCAGAATTGCATAGTAACATCGATGGTTCGACTAGAAAAACTGTTTATCGAAGTTCAAGTTGGTAGGTAGTTTTAGCGTATGAAATTGTAAAATCACGGTTTCAGCACAAAATATGTTACCAGTAACTGTTTAAGTACAATCTTCGATACAAAGAATTGTAAGACTTGAATTGAATATTTAGTGAGGACAAAAATTGTTTCTCTGGGTGCCCTATTCAACGGAGATAACCTCGTAGGCATGAGCTGGTTATCCATGATATACAAAAGATGCATTAAAAAGGTTAATTAAGTTACATCTGAAATGATCAATTACTTCTTGCGAATATGGTTAAGAGAAGTCCGTGGATCCCATGGATTTATTCTTGTTAAATCCATCAAGTAAAGGACGGATTGTGTATAAAGTTAATGATGCTTGGTTTTTACGTAATAAATCCATGACCAATTCCATGAAGCAAACGAGACCATGATAACTTTTTACACTTTTAACATTACTTATTTCACTAATCACCAACTTATCTTGTTTCATTTACTAATGAACAACTGGTAGTGCATATTAATTTTGCATTCAATATTTTTTTTTTTGGGTGTTCAAGCACTACATGATTAATCCCAAAGCATTGATCACCTTAGGGAATTGTCCAATTGTGTGTATAACATGAAGTTCTTATTTATTAATGATGTTTATTTGTTCCGATTGTGGTAGTGGGACGAAGCTATTGGATGGAAATTGCTTTATAAAAAAATTATAATGTAAAAATAAATATGCTCAGCAAGGGCACTAAAGTAAATTCCTAATACAACCACAAATATAATAATGCCAAATCCATCATGAAATCCAACAAACAAACTATAACTTGTACCAAAAACCAAATGGGGCATTTCCATCATATATCCAAACCCAGGTTTTAATCAAAACTAGAATCAATAGCCGTGGGAACTAAATTTGCAGCAACTAGACCATCTGGTGGCCAGTTTCATTGATGCCTAACTATAAAATTATGTGAAGAGTACCCTAACTAACTTTGACAATGTACTGTCGACGCCAAAATCACCTTGGAGAAGTTAAAACTTAAAAGAATTAAAATGTCAAAAGAACACAACTTTTGATAGGCAAAATCAGCTTGGAGAACTGTCCACGACATACCAACTCTCTTCCACTAAAAGATACTAATTAGTACAGACCCCTCCCTGTTGTAGCTCCTAATGTCACAACTGGCCTTTTTTCCTGACCATTGCCATTGCGGCATTCCCCATGACACAAACCCCCTTTCAGGAACATTTGTAACATCAACTTAAGTTTTTTTGAACATGTTCATAAATCAAAGTTTCCCTGCAGATGTATGTTGAGAACGGCTAAGTTATTCCCTGCAGATGCTGTTGAGAAGGCTAAGTATCTTTCCCCTTGAACCTGCTGATAACCTTAAATAGACACATCAAGCAGAACCTCGATAGAAGTCTGCTTCTTTGGCTCAAACATCCATCCACCAGCGACCTACTAAACCCAGAAGCATAGAAGCAATTAAAAGGAAATGAAATTGAGGGATTGCAGTCAGACTGAAGAGCTGAGACATGGAACTCAACATGGCAATGCATACACTGCAACCTAGAATGCCTCCAGCTCAATCCTTGCATATTAGTGAAAGAGAAAAACATTATGTTTAAGTATGAGAAACTTGAACTGCGTAGAAACTCATCTTTCAATTAAGCGAAGAAAAGTTAAGAAGCAAAGGATCAAACACCCTCACATAATTTTATCAATGAACTGTAAAGTGAACCCTTCAGGTTGAACATACCGTGGTAATGAAACTTCAGAGGGAACAACAAACACCCTCACAAAATCCCAACTATCTCAGCTGAGACTCGCCTCGGTAACTTGTAGATATCATGGTCGTCAAGGGCTGGCAGGATTTCTGGTGTTCTTTTCCACCAAACTCCACATATGATGTGCATGTGTGCACACCGACTTGTGATCAAATATCCTCAATTTTTTTTCCCTTCGAAACCTGCAAACAAAATTTCGAGTCTACCACATATGATGTGCATGTGTCGCTCTTATGATCTTATCGTATTCGAAATTGGATTAGATTAATCTAATGACTGTTAACGAACAAGCAATCAACTAAAATTGCAATGAAGCAACAACCAATTGCTTATCACAATCATCCCTCAAAAAGTGCTTATCACAATATTTCTCGAGTCCCATCACAATCTAATGTCTTTCTCCCCGTTCTTTACACGCCATCGGCAATAACAACTGCTCTTCCTTTCTCATTTTGGATGAGGAGATGGTAAGTGAAATTTTTGTGTGGGCTTATTATCTTTCACTCTTCCAATAACATTGTTATATGGCGGGGGCTTAAAAATCAGACTATTCCATCTCGTCATCGCATGTGCCATAGTGTGTGAAGTTTCGTTGGTTGAACGAAGAACGTGACTACAACCTCTCTTTCCCATCTCGACCAAGTAGCAATTGATACTACGACATAGAGTGCCAAGCTCGTTATCACTAGTTGTGGTACTTTTTGCAATTTTTGAATTAAGGTAAGAGAATCTAACTTTAGAATGGGACGTGCTAACTAAAGCCTAAAATTCTCCGCCATTGCCTTTGGCATCTCAGCTTCCCAAGTTCCCGGAAAGCTCTTTAAGAAGCTAGTATGAAGTGCCATCCGATCCCCTGGTTACTACGCACAACCCTGATTTGGAAGGATGGTTGCGACAGTGACGATTCCGCGGGGGACAAAGTCGAGCTACATTAATTAAATCGATAATCTTTTCTTACCTCCTTTGTCTATGTTGGACGTTGATTATATTAGTTACGATTTTAATTTACTTCATATTGAATATTGGCATTCATGTACGATCAATGGCTTGGTTTAGTGGTAATACCACTAGCCTTGAATCTTGAGGTCACATGTTCGAATCCCTTCAGTAGTACCTAACACAAAAAGTAAACCTATATCACCCTTAGAAAAAAATTCAGTTGCATTCATGCATAAAGCTCTATGCCCGAGTTCTCCTTTTAGAAAAAGCGAAGGAGTACAATGACTCCTACAATACTAAGGAAAACATGAAACTTTCCAACCGGGTTAAACTTTGATCCGAGGTTGATTTGAGGTATTGATCTAATCTCGAAAGGATTACAGTGGGTACAACTTGGGCTAAATATAAAGAAGTCCTATCCAGGATATAGTATGCTCAGAAGCCACATATATGCAAATTATCCTAGAACCTACCAAAAAAAATGATGTTATGCTACCAAAAAATACTAGGTTTACCTAACTAAGGTTGTCACCTTATTAATGTATATTTCTTGTACTAGTGCTCGTTTCCTCCCTAAATGTTATTGAGATTTGAGAAGTGTGTATTATGTGAAAAATATAATTTTTTTTTTTTGTGAATGAAGAAATAACCATAAACTGCATGCATCATGTTCACCTTAAATTCTCATGTTATTTCCTGCATAGTTAACCTTGAATCTTTTATGCATGATGGTAGATGGATCACATCACCAGGAACTTGATCCCGCCAATGAACCTACCATCAAACCTATCTGGGTAGATTATACTGTCAACGATATGAAAAGGATGTCATTGAAAATTTTGCTAGACATCATGTTGAGAACCTTGAAGGGGTACGCTGAACTATTTGTCGAAGGAACAAAGAAGGCAGTAGTTAGAGACTATAAATACCATAATACTCCAATCAAACATCTTAATTGACATCTAGATCTTATGTTAATCAATATGTTTACATAACTTTAAGAGTACCACTGGATGACAAAGAGTATCATTATGATGGAAGGATTAAAGCATCCAGTCTACCAACACTCAACAATGACCAGCAACTTACTCAAAGGAGCTGACTACTGTCTAAGGCGAGTAGCAGTAGCACATAACTATGTTAGAGAGTGCTCCAAATCCTCGGTTGAGACGATTGTTGATGACCATACACTCTCATGCAAGACTAAAGGAAGAAGGAAAAGATCAATCAATGAAGAAGAAGGCCGACAGTGTTGGAAGAATTTTGCACAGAACTCCCTTCTTAGAATGAAGGATGCGAATTGATGCCTACCCCACTTCTTAGGGGGAAGGTCAGAATGCTTAGGGTAGGATGGCTTGTTCACTTTGTAAATTTTGTGTAAATGACTTAGAGTCTGATCTAGCCATCTTTTTACTCGAGCATGGTTAGCCATCTTGTTGCAATACACGACTAAGCGGCTCCTAAGATACGTGGTACCATTATACTTCTCAAACTCGAGCATTTTAAACTTTTTGTGTATCACTACATTAGTAACTTGGCAACTGTGTAACATTCGTGGGTCCATATGATTATACCCCTTTGATTGCCCTCATTCTTTCTGCTAGATACTCCCACTTTTCCTTTAATGCCGCATTGGTAACTGATGTTCCTTTCTCGTTTTCTCCTAAGTCATCATGGGTTTATGTTCCTTTCTCTTCCGCAAGATTCATGGACGCATAAGAAAGTCATTGCTACCTGGTCGAGCCAAAGACCCCTACTCACCAATCATAACCATGGCCCCGTTGATCATAAAAATCCCAAGGGAGTTCAAATACGAAGATCCGAAAGTGGTGTCATGTGTATATACTTGCTAAGTGCATCAAGAAGTCAACAACACATCGTGTAAAGTAACGAATAAATCGAGACAAGAGGAATAATGAGATCGGGCAAACAATACTAGAAGATTTTAAGGGTGTAGAATTGAGGAATTAGCAATAAGGCAAGAAATGAAGCAATGGAAGAAAAAACTTATGGAGCCCACAAGTCCTTTAAATGACGAAAGAGAAGAAGAAATACCAAGAGCAAAAGAACCAGAAGAATATGAGCCGCAAATTTCTGATGAAGATGCTTGTGATTTCAAGAGTTGATCAAACAAAGCTAGTTTAGTGTGATGGAACAACTAAATCGCATGCATGCACATATCTCTATTTTATCCTTAATTCTCAACTCGGAACCTCATCGAGGAGGCCTCATGAGTCATGAAGGTTTTGAACAAGCCTCAAGTATGTCATAATGTATCAATAGATAAGTGAGATGGAATTGTAGGGCAATCCTTACTAATGACAATATTTCTTTCAACGAGGACGAGAACCCCGCCGAAGGTTCAGGTCATACAAAAGCCTTGCACATTTCTTTGAAACGCGAATGACACATGGTAGCCCGTGCAATAGTCTATAACAGGTCGGCCCTAAATGTAATGGCAAACTTAAATCTCAATAAAATTTATATTGATGAGCCATAAATCACATCGAGCTTCATGGTCATCTGAGACTTCAATGAAACTGAATGTAATGTGATGGCCGAGATTGATTATATATAGAGATAGATAGATAGATAGATAGATAGATAGATAGATAGATAGGAGTGATATATGCTACTTTTTTGTGATTATGTACTACTTAACGGATTGAACATGAGATTTTCAGGTTCCAGATTATTGATTTTACCACTAGATCAAGTCCTTATTCGTATCGGCAATATTGATTTTCTAATTCACCAATTGTGTTGGACATCTTATTCAAGTAATGGACATCCACCCCCATATAACCTCCTACTAGAGATCCACTCAGTTGGGGCAATTTCGTCGTCACTACACCGGAAAGTGAACTTCGTCGTTGACGGAAAGCTAGTGAAGATCTTCGAGGAGGGGATCTTGGTAACTAAAACCCCGGACCGGATCTCTCTTGATTGCAAAATGATTTTGTTTTCACAATTGCTTTAATTAAAATAAGAAACAAGATTTAAAAACATATTAAAGGTAATGACAAAAATATAGTTACGTTATACAAATAAATCATCTAAAAGCTTCTAAACAATTTGGAGAATTATACACACCAGTCAATTGGAAAAGGTTTTGGAAGCTCAAGATTCCACCGAAGGTGAGATTGTTTGCTTGGAGATGAATAAGGGACATTCTACCTACGCGAGCCAGAATCGTGGAAAGAACACAAAGGGGTCATGTGGGATGTCCTTTTTGTGATCTACCAGAGTCTCAATATCATATCTTTAGGGACTGTGCGTGGGTGAGGAGGGTTTCTAGAGATACTCCTATGCATCGATTGTTCGAGAGGGGGGAGACACTCACCTGTGAAGAATGGTACTGCAATCTGCAAGAGACAGAGACGGACGAACAGCTGGGAAAATTCCTCGTTGCGTTATGGTTCATCTGGGACCAACGCAACAGTCAGATGTGGAACAAAAGGAAATTGGAAGAAAGGGAAATCATTCCAAGAGCAATCGGGTGGCTGGAAGAGTACCTGGACATGCAGGAGGTTGAATCTGAAGCACATCGCCAGAGGGACGGGAAGTGGAGACCGGCGCAGTCGACTGAATTCACGATCTCGGTGGACGCGGGATGCCTGACGGGACAAGGGACGGGTCTGGGAGCTGTAATTCGGAAGAGGGATGGAGGCTTTGTGGCGCCGGCGGTGAAGAGGACGCGGAGGCAGTGGGAGGCGATGGAGGCAGAGGCGATGGCGGTGAGGTTTGGGATGGAAATGGCTCATCGGTTTCATCTGAACTCAATCGCCATTCAGACCGATTGTTTGCAGGTGGAGCGCCTCATTGCAGGCCAGGTGGAGTCCCAAGTTGAAGTGGGCCAAATAACAAAAGAGATCAAGGAAATGGGCCAAGCCTTCCAACATATTGAATGGACCCATATTCCTAGGAAGCAAAATAGAGTGGCACATGAAATGGCCCATATTGCTTGTAATTGGGAGGAAATTGAGTGTTGGGTGGATAGGCCACCAATTATTCTAGTTACTCTCCTTAATGAGGAACTAGCTTGTCTAAACATTGATAATTAAATAAAACAGGTTTTACTTTCAAAAAAATGTTTACATCGTCTAAACCGATAAGTGCTTTTTAACGGTATGAAAGGCGGCACAAAAATCAAATGGGTGATCGGAGTAGAAACAGAATGCGTTTCTCCAACTTGATTTTATTTCAATTGAGAAATTCGACAAAGAACCCAGAATGCTATTGCTGGCTTAACATCTGGCATTCGAAATCAGCGAACAAGCTTGAGACCTTTGGAGATATCTAAAGAAACCCAGCCATGAAGATTAAAACAGAAACGGTCACAGTAACATAATTTAAGTTCAGGCACACGACCAAACTAGCCAACCGAAACGTTTCAGAAACTGCAACAAACTAAAAGATTCTTCGTCTTAGAAACTAGAAAAAAACCCTCCAACAACACAACTCAGTTTGATAATATATAACTTAATATGATCAAAAAGCTTCAGTAGCTTCACTTCTCGACCAGCTTCTCGATCATATCAGCGGCCTCCTGGACTGTGGTAATGCTCTGTGCACTCTCTTCCTCCACGGTGATGTCAAACTCCTCCTCAAGTCCCATCACAATCTCGACCTGCATTGCCGAGAAAAACACGATTCATCATCAGAATTCGGTGAACGCATGAGCAATCCAAGCAATGACAGAAAGATCATCATAGCAAGGAGCTGTAATAAAAAGCTTGGTCCTTTCTTAATGGCCATAATCCAGAATCAATTGCACCGCATGCTGCTTGTTCCCTAACCACATCCGGCTTACACATCCCCCAAAATTGGGTAATAAATTCAGCAGAAGACTGAAGGTTACTAGGACAGACATGGCCTATTGCCATGAACCGATCCCCAAGAAAACGAACCATGAATCCAATACATGAAGCAGATGAGCCAACCAACACAGTATAAAAAAGAACTAACAACTTTGTACGAGATTAAGGCTATGGATATAACTTACAGTATCAAGGGAATCGGCACCAAGAGCAGCAAACTTAGACTCTCCAGTGACAGCGGCATCTGCTGGCAGAGCAAGCTGCTTCTTCACAATTGCAACCACTTTGTCTACGGTCTCTTGCTTGGCCTGCAACAATTTCATTCGATTAATCAAATGCTGAACCGAATATATAACCAAACTTCCCAATTCCTAACACAGCTTCTCAACTCCATCATCCACCAAGACTTCAGCAGAATCCCAGAACCAGAAAGAAACAAATCGACATTAACAACAGACCATCCAACTAACCCACCAACGGAGTTTCCATAAGCTACATTAGATCTCAATTCCCTACATTCCTATATCACAAAATCATCGGGGAGAAAAAGAAATCTTACCGCGCAGCAAACTTGGAGCCCGCGTTGCAATCTCAGAGAAGGAATCATGGATCTTCCACTGACGGGAAAGGAGACGGAATTCATCCCAGATATCCTCTGCATAAAACAAAACAACACCACAAACAAGAAAATTAATCCCAAATAGACGCCGATTTCAATCGAATCTGCAAAGGAATCCTGCCGGATTCAGAGAAATCCCTGAAACCCTTCAAGGGTTTTAGGGTAAAGCTCAGATCTGGGGAAGAAAGGGAAGAAAACGAATTACCCGCTGGCTCTGGTTAACAGAGGCGGAGAGAGACGGCATGGAGACGGAAGCTCTTGTGATGGAGGCCATTGTTCTCCTTCTCCTGTTGGCAGAGGAAGACGAGAAAGGCAGAAGAGAGAGGCGAAGAAGGAGAAAGAGGTGGATGGAAGGGGAAGTGAAGGAATGGAGAATGTTTATAAAGGACCCTTGTACAGTTGGGTGCTTTCTTGTGGTTATCGCCGATGGCTGGAGCTGGAGCCTCGTTTTATTGCTTCTACTTGTGTTGTTTGTTGGACTGGTTGTTGTCCAGTGGTGGACTTCGTTTATATCGAAATCTAGGTGCTGTTTGGCTCCTGGCTTAACTCTGTCCTGTGCTAAGGTCGTAATGTTATACGAGAAAAAGTGATTAAGGGTCAAATTACATAAATGGTCATCGAAGTTTCGGATCCCTACGAAATCGGTTATTTGAGTTATGTCTATTTTGTGGATTTAGATGATAGATTTGAGTTCCAAATTCAATCCATTATGTTTGTTTGAAGTTTGCTGGAGATAAAATTCGTGGAGACCTTGGACTTTGAGGGCTCAATCTCCACTGACTTGCAAATCTCATGTCAAAGTGGTGGAATTGGAGCATAGTTATATAACCATGACGTAATCAAACAAATTCAAAATCAAATCTAATAAGCAAACAATATACTCGTCAAATCCATAATGCCAACATATCCACTATCATAAATCTAGAGCTTTCCAAAATCTGAATATTTAAAATTCATAAAGCAAAAGGGGTTGTTTGTTTGTTGGATTTGGGTTATGAACTTGTCACCCAAATCCCAAGCATCATGAATTTAGTCCAAATTTTTCGTTTGCAAGAGAAAAATGGAAGAAGGAAATTTGTGGGGTTCACGAATTCATATTCAAAATTCGGTCCCAAATCCGTGACCCCACAAATCTGTTAATCCAAATGAAATGTGGAATTTGAGAGATGAGTCCAAATTCATGATGGTTTAAGATTATTTTATCCTCATAAAATTTATTTCAATACGAGTATAACCCTTTGTTGCCTTTTCTTCGTGAGAGGAATTTTACAAAACATCAATGGAATCACTTCATTCTTGGCCGTATAACGAGGAAGTAATAGTATTTTCGAATTGACGATGGGCAGATATATCAAATTGTCATTGGAATTTCTCGCATAAAGTCTTGTGGCTAAATCCGACCCCTATTAATCTTTTTCCAACCTAAATATTTTGGACATTTTAATTAGTTACAGAGGAACTAAACATTCAAACTCAAATATTAATCTCTTATAATATTGAATGGACATCAATTTGTCACATCATCGTCAACTAGTAAGAGATCACAAGGAAAGTTAACATTTTCATTATTATGAAATTGTTTTACCTTTTTCCCCTAAGAATATGCACACCTGCGGAATGGTATTTTCATTTATTAAATTAACATATTTTCCTACTAACTTATAATCCAATCCGTTGGTCGGAATGTTCATATTTGAGTATTTATATTTTTACGTTATGTTTTAACTTTATCAATCCGTTTGATTTTATTGACAATCTTTCGATCGAGATGCTACATAAATAATGAATGTATAAGCAGGGGCGGAGGGAGAAGGTTAGAGGGTGGGTCTCGGGACCCACCCTGGTTCGGGAGGAAAAATAATAAATTAGGTATAATAGTAAATCGGGTATGAAAAATAACACGTATTTAAATGAGAATAGTTGATCTTTCAAATATTTGATGAATGATAAAAGTTGGGTATTGACATATACAATGTTTTTATAACGAGTGATGTACAAATGATAATGGTGCATATGATCCACCCAAAATTAAAGATGTATTTGTTTACCATCTCGAACAAATTTTCACCAAATCATAGCTAATTTATAAAAATAATTTTATTTCAATCAGGGGTAGAGAGAGTGTAACGGGTGGCTCCTAAGGACAAAAATGAGTAAAATAGTATAATGTTTAATTGAGAATGAAATTTAAGACACTTCTAATTGAGAATGGTTGATCGAGAGATCATGTGTTCGAATTTTGGCGACCCCATTTGTAAAGCACATGATATTCGGATTTGCGAAAAATTTAAGCACGTATTAGTTGGTTTTCGTTAGCGGGAAAGTGGTAGTAACTGGTCTTGACGAAAAACATTGTTAAATAGTATAAGTCTATTATTAAATCTTTCACAAAAACTTGAGTTATTGGTACTAGATGGTCTTGACGAAGAACACTATTCAAAAGCAAATGTCTAACTAAATCATTAATAATTGGTTGATATATACAGAGTGATATTCTTGAGAGTTTCGACCTATAATTAATTTACCAAATTTTTGTAAATACAAAAGTATATCATGAATTATTTAAAACACTAACAAAACTATTTTATCGTATTTTTTTCTAAATGGACCCACCCTCGACAAAATCCTGGTTACGCCCCTGTGTATAGGTCGAACATTTGAAGAAATACTATCATCATTTATGAATATAAAATATAAAAATGTATCATTAATTCCATTCACAATGATAATTTAGTCCCTCCTTAAACATCGTATTAGGCAATAAAATCAAAAGAAATATATTTTCTGCATGTTCTGCTCCTAAGACAACATGAAAATAAAATTTGTTTTGTTATTAATCAAAAAGATAAAATCAGGAGACAAAGAGAAGAAATGAATGACTTACATATGTGAAGCGATTAACATTCGGCGAATACCAAAAACCCATTCAAGTTCAAAGTCTGGTATAGGAAGAGGAATAAAGGAGTAAGATATAACTTATCGACCATTGTTTGCAGCAACATAGAAGCAACAAAATAGTTCTTCTATTAGTTCATAGATATAGGAGAGATAAAACCATTAGGCGATGCGAGTGTAGAGGAATAGAGCGAGATAGGCCAGACCCTAACTACTTGATTGAACTCCATTCTATTCGCCATGGACTTATATAAGAGTTGAAATCTTCTACTTTCCCAGCTTCCCCAACAATAAAACCGTAGTTCTACGAGATATGAGAAGATTGATTTTCATAGGTGACCTTGTATTGGGAAGTGAAAGGGAGCAAACTATTGCACTATAGAGGGAGTTTCAGAGGAGTTTAGGAAGGGATAAGAACAAAGATAAAAAAGCTCAAAAAAATTTAAATTGAAAAACTGCGAGGACTCAACACATAGTAAAAAAACAGTTTCTTCCATGTTAGCCAATTACCAATTTAGCCTTATTGAAAATTAAGGACAAAGTAGAAATTTTAAAATGGAGAAAGTTACATGAAACTCTACTATGAAAATCGATGTATCAAGTACTAAAAAAATACGTACAAGAGACTTAATAGGCTAGCTAATCATGATGGAAAAGTCCTCTGGTTTTCAGAGTTTAACTATGTCTATGGTTTGTATTCAAAAAGGTACAATAACTTTGTTTAATGTAGTTGGTTATGCTTGTTGTCTTTGTTTGAAAAGACCATGGTTCAAATCTTGATATCAATAATTCTTTTATATGAATTAATAAAGAATTGTAATGACTAAAATGTCATTTCCTACTTTCACTATCGTTGCAAGAGATTTGAATAGAGAAAAGTACACAAAACTCTATCATATATTATTGGAAGATGTCCTAACTATTTCCTCATCTTTCCAATGTTTCCTTTCATTTGTAGGGTCATTGACCTCAAAACCTAAAATCAATATTGCACGACTTACTCACCATTCACAGATGCATAATCTTTACAAATCCCTTGTGCCTAATACTGTATAATATTATTTCCCCAATATATAACACATCTTTCACAATCATACATTTCAATCCCATCGTTGTTAACTACTTGTTAATTGTTATGGTTGTTTTAAATCACAATGCCGTCTGCATTTATGAGGAAACATCAAAATCTTTATTAAGTAAAATAAAAAAAATTCCCCACCTTTTGGTATCACCGATGGAAAAAAAATTGGTCGCAACAATAAAACCTTGTTGGTTTGTATCTCAGAAAACGTTGTAATTTTGGAGGGTTCATGACAAGAAAAGAAGGAATACATGGGATTATTTTCCCAACATCCACCACCAACTAATGCAACTGCTTTACAGTAAAAAAAAACTTATGCAACTGCTTCATTGAATGCGGCCAAGAAGGGAATTAGGAAGCCGCCATCAGAGACAATTCGGGCCCGACGAGTGTCACGATGTTCGTAATTTTAATATACGTTCAGGTGCTAGCTACGTTATGTATTTGAGAAGTCAAATTAACAGTATCGACCATTGTGTTATCGGATAAACTAGCTTGTAGCGTTTTTGGTCAAGTATGGGTATCACTTGGTGTCAGGGATACAGTATGGAAGAGAACGATTGAAGGCGTGATTAATCACTCTCCTTAGAGTGTTATTTGCCCCCACTACTTTGTTGCTGGTAGGAATTAGGCAAACCACCCCCAGGAGTCTCTTCAACCAAAGTCTGAAAGCAACAACCTTTCTGACTTCTGTGTTTGTGTTTTTGGAGAAGGAAAAACGAAGAGAAGAAGATGAACGTTGGAACAGAAATTCGGCTGCAGAAGACTTTTATAGTGAAAACGGCAGTTCCCTTCCGAAGGGTTGCGTCGTTTCACAAATCTCAAAATCAAATAATTATCCGGATTAATTAATTAAAATAATTCTGGTAATTAATTAGCCAAAAATTCAAATCGGAACGCGTCGCGCAAACGTGCTAAGTGCTAAGTGCGTAGTGCGATTTAATATGTCCAATTAAATAGCCCACACTTTTTCCAAAAGCCCACTAACCACTTTATCCAATAACTAAAGTGGAAAGCAAACTTAAAAACAACTTGCACTTTCTTTCTCCCACCAATGTGGTATTTCCTTTACTCTTTGACTACTCTAACAATCCCCCACTTAGTCAATAAGAGTCGAGAATACCTGCCTTGAACAAGTAACGCATACATAAAGGTATCTTTTCGATTTGAACCTTTACTTAGTGTAAGCATCTCAAAGTTAATAGCGAATCAATGACGGGCTTAAGCCTAGGAGTCAAGATCCAAAGCTAGAACCGGAGACACCACACACGTAGTCGTCTCTTCTCTAAAACACAACCACCAACAAGGGTAGCACTATTATGGCCATGTGCTTATCCTGTTTCATGAGCATATACAAAAGTTGACCTTTACTTTTGTTAGAGCGGCACCACTCCAAATGCTCACATAGGTGACATTCCAAATGAACGTCATTAAGAGTTCTATAACTCACCCTTCTTACAACTAATTTACTTGTACAATAAACTAGTTCCCAGTTAGAGTAACTTGTTATTACCACATTGAACCTTTTAATTAGGGAATATCTAAAGAAAAGGTTGGGTTTCCATTACTTCTAACTATACAAAAGGTCTCAATCCCATCCCTTGGGATGTCTCATAGATCATGCCTCTTGGCAGCCCCTTTGTAAGAGGATCTGCCAAATTGTTGCATGACCTTACATACACAATAGAAATGATTCCATTAGTAATCAAATACCTAACGTAGTCATGTCTTAGGCTAATATGTCTAGACTTACCATTTTAAATCTTGTTATAAGCTCTAGACAATGTAGCCTCACTATCATAGAAGACAGAAATGGCTGGCATCGGTTGTGCCCACAACTCTATATCTAACAACATGTTTCTTAGCCATTCTGCTTCTTTTCCAGCCGCCGCAAGGGCTAGGAATTCGGCTTCCATAGTGGAGTGTGAAATACATGTTTGTTTCTTTGAAGCCCAAGAAACAGCTCCACCACCTAGTGTAAAAATCCATCATGTTGTGGATTTATTATCACTAGCGCTCGTGATCCAACTAGCATCAGAAAATGCTTCTAGTACAGCGGGGAAGTTGCTATAGAAGAGTCCCAAATCTTTGGTTCTTTTCAAATAACCAAAGACTCTTCCTATGGCTCTCCAATGATCGGCACTAGGATTACTAGTGAATCTAGAAAGTTTGCCCACCGCAAATGCAATATCGGGCCTAGTACATCCCATTGCATACATCAAACTTCCAATAGCACTAGAATACTCAACTTGTGCCATTGCCCTTCCCTCATTCGCACAAAGCTTAAAAGATGCATCATAAGGGGTGTTAGCCTCCTTTATATCCAAATGCTCGAATTTCTTGAGCATCTTCTCGACATAATGTGACTGACTCAAAGCAAAACCCCCACTATGTTTCTTTACTTTGATGCCCAATATAGTATCTACTTCTCCAAGATCTTTCATTTGGAAGCAGGAAGTTAGATACTCTTTGGTCTCATTTATGCCTTTCATGTTAGTTCCTATTATCAACATATCATCAACATAAAGGCATATAATGACCATATACTCTTTTGTGCACTTTGAATAAATGCACTTATCAGCAGAGTTATGAGAAAATCCATGAGCCAAAACAACAGAATCAAATTTCTCATGCCATTGTTTAGGTGCTTGCTTAAGTCCATACAATGACTTTTGCAATTTACACACCTTTCCTTCATTTCCAGGCAACACGAACCCTTCTGGTTGCTCCTTATACACTTCTTCATCTAACTCACCATTTAAGAATGCCGTCTTTACATCCATTTGGTGTACGTGCAAATTGTAATTAGAAGCCAAGGCTAAAAGCACTCTTATGGAAGTGATTCTTGCAACTGGTGCATAGGTGTCGAAGCAATCTACTCCTTCCTTTTGCCTAAACCCTTTTGGAACCAGTCTAGCTTTGAAGGTATGTATTGATCCATCTGTGTTATACTTAATGCGAAATACCCATTTGCATCCAATAGCCTTAGATCCAGGAGGCAGGTCCACAAGAACCCAAGTCTTATTTATTAATAACGAATCCATCTCATCATTAACAGCCTCATTCCAAAAGGCAGAATCTCTAGAAGCCATTGCTTCTTGATAGGTTTTGGGATCGTCTTGCACATGGAACAAAATGGGTATCTTTCTTGTAACCTTATTCAACCTATCTCCCTCTACAAGAAAGACTATATCTTGAGGATCAATAAATTCTGGACCAAAACTCTTTTCCTTTCGAGCCCTTTGACTTCTTCGTGGTTCATTAGCAGCAGGTTCATCTAAAGGCCTTTTGCTACTAGAACCAATGTCAAAATCGGGAGCAGAGATAGACTCATTTGAGAAATCTACAGAAGTAACTCGACATGGTTCTACACTTGCAGAGTCACGTCGAAACTTGTTCTCAAAGAACTCAACATCTCTCGATTCCACAACCACATTAGATTCTAAATCCAGAACCCTATAGGCTTTTGAGTTTTCTGCATATCCAAGAAAAACACCTTTCAAAGCTCGTGGTCCTAACTTAGTTCTCTTAGGATCTGGGACTCTGTAGAAAGCAAGACAGCCCCAAACTCTAAGATAACTCAAGTTCGGTTTCCTTCCCTTCCACAACTCATAGGGAGATTCCCTTAGCTTCTTAGACGGAATCCTATTGTGTACATGGCAGGCTGTTAGCAAAGCCTCGCCCCACAGATTGTTTGGAGCACTAGCATTCATCAACATAGCATTAATCATGTCAGAAAGAACTCCATTTTTTATTTCTGCTACTCCATTCTGTTGTGGGGTGTAAGGAGCAGTCCTTTGATGTATTATACCATGTTGCTCACAAAACTCGTTAAAGTTATTTGGAAAATACTCTCCACCTCTGTCACTTCGAAGGATTTGTATTTTCCTACCCTTTTGAGTTTCAACAACAGATTTATACAACTTAAACTTATCAAAGGCTTCATCCTTGGTTTGCATTAAATAGACATAGGTAAATCGAGTACTATCATCAATGAAAGTAATGAAGTACCTACATCCTCCTCTAGTTAACTGACCATGAAATTCACAAATATCAGAATGTACTAATTCTAACAATTCTGATTTTCTGTCAACCAACTTAGGAAATGGCTTTCTCTTCATCTTAGCTTGCACACAGATTTCACATTTATCTCCACTATCATCACCACAAACTACTAAACCATTTCTAGACATGTATTTCTGAGTCTTAAAATTAACATGCCCCAATCGATTATGCCATGCCCATAAATCAAAAGAAGTACTTTCTATACTATAATTTGCATGCACATCAATACAATGTAGTCAAAATCCCGATTTTAATCTTAAAATCTTACGATTTTACGATCTTACCTATGGGTTCCGATCCTGATTTTAATGTAAAATCTTTGAACCTTAAAATCTCATAAAATCCCGATTTAAAACTCTAAAATCCTTAAAATCTACGATTTCTACGATTTTGTACGATTTCAAGGTTCATATCAATTGGATCAAAATTAGGCCGGTCAAGTTGGGTTATGCCCATGAACCGAGTCAAAGTTACTTTCCCCAACCCAACATAATGAACAACACAACCCCAACCTGATAGTTAACCCTCAATTTATTTTCATTATCTTCCTCGTATCTTCCTCTTTCACACGTCGGCGCCCAACTCCTTCCATCAACGATATCTTCCACCCTCCCAATTAACTTGTAGTTTGTTCCCACCACCCTCACAATAATCCAAATCTCCATTACATTGCAAGCTTTTCTTCATCTCCCAATCCTTCAGCACCACTAACCCGACCTTTTATCAATTATGAAGGGAATGCATCAATCAATGAGTTATCTTTTCCAGATGATGGTAATCAAGGAAATATGGTTAATGGTGAAAGTACTTCAAGTGATCATAAGAGTAATGATATTAGTCCTTAAACAAATAAAAACGATGAGAGTAAGGGTGAGGTTGAGGATGATGACGATGATGTGTAAGTGATGTTAATGTTGATCCTAACGATCTTATGTGATTTTCTACTCTTAACAATTACTTAACAGTGATATCTATAATGTTTCAGGTTTCTTATTTGTGTGTTTCTATTATGCAAGAAAAATATATGGATTAATTGTGTTTGTTTAGCAAACAAACTTATCTTGGGAAGTAATTATGCTTTATGTGGTTGATTGTTATTCAAGATATGCATTTTTATTACTATCTAGTGCTTTAAGTATTTATTTTAATATGAACCTTAAAATCTTACGATTTTACGATTTTAATCTACGATTTCGATTCTACCTCAGTTTTCGATTTTACTTAAAATCTAGATTTTGACTGCATTGCATCAATATAAGCAGAACCATCAACTTTATTATTAATATTACCATTGTCAATACTTAGCTTAAACATACCATCACTAACATAGCCCTTCCCAACAAACATACCAGCCTTGGTCAGAATCACCCTATCAGATTCTATCACAACCTTTATCCCCTTCTTACAAAGCATGAAACCAGAAACCAAGTTCTTTCTAACATCAGGAACGTGAAGGACATTGGTGAGAACAACTTTCTTTCCCGAAGTGAAGAAAAGCTCCACGGTTCCAGATCCAAGAACCTTGATCGTGCGATGATCACCCAACAGAACCTCGTGTCCCTCCGTTGACTCTGTGTAGTCCTTGAACATGGCTCTTTTGTTGCAAATGTGAGCAGTTGCCCCCGAATCATACCACCAATCAGCACTGGTCATGACTCCAGCCATGTGCAATTCCTGAATCATACTCACATGTAAGTCAGAAATCATTGCAACAATCTCACTAGGCTCAACTTTCTCAATCACGTTTGCACTTGCAGCCCCTTCATTCTGGTTCTTCTTTGGATTAGGACAAAAGCGACAATATGTCCCAATTGCCCACAATTGAAACAATTCTTAGTGGACATAGGGGACGGTTTTTTCTTTTTATTCTTCTGGTTGTTGGTCTGGTTGTTGGAATTATTCATGGCCTTTCTCTTCTTTCCTTTCTTGCTCTCCACAACATTCACTTTGGAACTTGATGGTGCCCCCAAATTCAGATCCTTGTCACGGATACGAGTTACCTCCTCGATCCTAAGGTGCTTCTGAATCTGCTCCAAAGTAAACTTGATAGACCGTTAGTTACACATGTTTTCACCCCTGTTCTTACACCGTTTGAGATGTGGTTTCTCGTGTTTTAGACCGATTTCACGCTAGGTTGTGCTTGTTTGTGATATTTCAGGTCCTGGCAAGTGAATGAAGGTTTAGGAGCGAGTTCGGGGTCGATTGGGCGAAGATCGGGCGCGAGACAAGTCGCAAAGGAGGTCACACGGGCTACCCTGATGTTCACACGGCCGTGCGAGAGGCCCGTCTGGCCGTGTGACATTCTGCGAGAGCAGACACGGGCAGAAGGAAGTCACACACGGCCGTGCCACCCTGGCCGTGTAAGAAGCCTGGAATTCGACTAAGTGATACGGTGCGTTTTGCCTCACACGGGCAACTGGGTAGGCCACACGGCCGTGCCACCCTGCCCGTGTGAGTCGGGATTTCCTGGTTTTAAGCCAAATTCCGAACCAAAGAAGAGGAGAGCTGGGTTTTTGGATCCCAAACACCCAAGGGACGAACCAAAGAGAGAGAGGGCGATTTGAGGGCATTCTTGGAGTGGAGTTGGAGGATTTCTTCTCCTTGGAAGCTCAAGGAACAAGCCCAGACTTGAAGACTGATCATTTGAGGATTCTTACTGCAGTCTCTCTCTTCTCTATGGAGTAACTTCCCTTCACTTAGGTTTTGAGGAACCCTAGCTATGTTTGTTTGATTGGATGATTGTATGAGTACTCTGACTGGATAATCTTGAGTTCATATTCAATCTATGCATGTTTTCATGATTCAATTCTGCTTTAGTCGAGATTATTGATTCTGCTTTGATTCTATGAGAGGGAATACCTGATTAGGTCAATAGAGCACCATAGATTGATAGTAGTGGATCGATTGCTTTAGTCGAGGGTTGATTCACTGCTTTGTATCGATTGAGAACCCCTTTCGATAGAGGGAGTCTAGTTCAGAACGCCTTGATCAGTTGTTCTAGAGAAGGATACGTCCCTCTAGGCAATTGACTCAAGAGGGCCTTGTTCCTTTAGTCGAGACTCAAGGTCTAATCAAGGATTCTCCGCATTGTGAATGAAAGTGAAACAGGTTAGAGATCATCAATCGTTAATCTGGCTAGTGGCTAGGGGGAATCATACCTAGGTGAGTTCCCAACCTGTAATTAGATTAACTTTAACTGTAGTTTGCTAGAGTAGTTTTAGTTCTTTCATCTTAATCTGATTTGCTAAATAATAAACTGAAGCTGAGTAATAGTAACTCTAGAGACCCGTGGATTCGATATTTATCACTTGAGCCACTATACTGCAGTCCCTTTCATTGGTTACACTTGGCCTTTGTTAGGTGTTGTGTCGTAGCCAATCAAGTTTTTGGCGCCGTTGCCGGGGACTTTCTAGAGTATTAGGAAAGGCAGAAGTTTGTTACTTTAGCGTTTTTCTTTTCTTTTCCACCCTTGCTTTTCACTTGGGTGTTTTTATTTTTGTTGGTGCAGATCTGAATCATGGATCCTAATGGCTTCTCCAATCATTGGGGGTATCCACCACCATCTGGGTGGTATTACCCCGAGACTCCCTGGAGCAATCAAGGCGGAGAAGACTATGGATTCGGGTTCCAGTACCAACCCCCTTACTACGGAGAACAACCAGACCCCTGGGCATATCAAGAACAACCTCATTATCAAGAAGAATTTCTCCCACAACCAGAAGGGCCATCGGCGCTGGAGTTACTCATGGAGCAGTTTGCTCGAGACTGTGAGAGAACATGCTCCAGGATGGATCAGTGTGTCCAGGCCTATCGTGAAACAAATGAGATCCTCCTGAGCCTTAAGAAGAGCGTCGATGATCTTGAGCGATCTTGGGCGCAACCTGCTCCAGATCACCCTTCTGCTACCATACAAGAAGAGGAGGAGGGAGAAGAAGGCTACAAGGGCATTGTGGAGCACACTGAAGTTGTCACGGAGAGCTCCCGTGATGATCATGATCAGGAGTGTCATGTCGTAGCCGACCACACCTTCCCACACCCCAAACTGAGCTTTGAAGAGGCGGGCATGAGTGAGGAGATGCAAGAAGATCTCATGAAAGAAATTGCTTGGCAACTTGCTCTCCAATCCGTGCTAGAAGAAGAAGAGCAAGAAAGGGTGCAGAAAGAAGTTGTGGAGGATGGCGAAAGTGAAGCTGGAGAAGTTCTTGATCATTTCCCAGGGGTGATACCACATGAAGAAGGAAGGGAGGTTAAAGAAGCAATTGGCGTCCAGGCTGAGGATGAAGTTGAGGTGGAAGAGGCATGCACCGGCCATGAGTTGCAAGTAATATCCCCACCAAACTTTGAGGAACTGCTTGGCAAGGACCCATTTGCAGTGTCTCTTTGCCAGACCAAGGCCGCCTCGACATCGGTCCCTCTTGGTGGACGCGATGGTGGCCAATCGATGTTGTCATATCTGGTTTGGGGCAATGAGACGAGAGAAGAGAAGAAGAGGTCTCGAGGGTGGAGACTTCATCTGCATCAAGTACATGAGCCTTCATCACCTGCCACACCACATGCTCGTGACTTGAGACTCCACCTCATCGACGAGAACCTCAACTTCAAGGAGGTTCTAGCATGGACCGAAATTTAGGAGCCATCGTCCGGCTCACAACGTGAAAGAAGCGCTTGTTGGGAGGCAACCCAACCAGTCGGTTTGCACTTCTTTCTCTATTTCTCTTCGGTTGAGTCAGTTTTGTTCTTTGATTTCAGAGTCAATAATTCAACCTTTGTGAGATTTTGTGTGGTGTTTGTGTTTCGACTACTTTGTCCTCCTGGAATGCACCGCCTTCCCCGTCCACAATCATTCACCGTTGATATGGTAACTTCGTTCTACCCTCCTTATCTTTCCTCCATTGAGGACAATGTCGTGCTTAAGTGTGGGGGGATGTTCGATTATGAATGCGTGTGAATGTTTGGCTGTTTGTGTGCTTGGAGCCTAGTCCACTGTCCAAATTTGTAAATTTGAGGGCTCCAAGTACGTGTTTCCATGCAATTGCCTGCTCAGTATGCTTTGAATTGACAGTCTTTATAGTAATATGCAACCTAGGGAGGTAGTGTAGCACTATGGAGGATGTTGATGCATTTAAGAAGTCTCATTTCTTCTTCATATTGAGTTGGTTGATTGAGTGAATTAGTGATCTTAGGACCCTTGAATTGTGTGGTGTTGTGGATTCTCTACCTGTCATGGACTCTTGTATCATGTTTTGAAAATAACAGGTGCTCGAAAATGTGCTTCAAAATAAACGTCTCCCGTGCGAATAGGGCGAAAGTGTGTAAGGGGAGACGGGAATTCGTTCCCAATTTCCACCTACTACCTCCAGCCCCCTTACATGTCTTTCCCTCGCACGAGGCTCGAGACATCCGCTCCTGGCATGGCCGGTAAGAGCAGGTTGGGACCCTTGAAAAGAAAAGAAAAGAAAAATAACAGAAAACAAGCAAAACAGAAAGAAAAGGGGTTCCAACCATCTTCAAAGAAAATAGAGCACCTTGAAAAATGTGAGTCCATGATCTTTTGTTTTAGAGAATCTCTTCATCCACGATTCATTTGTCCTCTGTTCACTGTTTGCCATGATGCCGACTCGATAAGAAGCTTTGAGATGACTTGTGCGTCGGTTGACCTCGTAAGTTGCTAAATGATCTAGGAAGTCCTCTACCTACGATCTGGGTTGTTTGTTGCTATAGAGGTCTGGAGAGTTGCATTGGTTTGAGTTAGGTTTTCTTGGGGACAAGCAAACGGTTAAGTGTGGGGGAGTTTGATAGACCGTTAGTTACACATGTTTTCACCCCTGTTCTTACACCGTTTGAGATGTGGCATCCGCTCCTGGCATGGCCGGTAAGAGCAGGTTGGGACCCTTGAAAAGAAAAGAAAAATAACAGAAAACAAGCAAAACAGAAAGAAAAGGGGTTCCAACCATCTTCTTAAGGCTCAGGAGGATCTCATTTGTTTCACGATAGGCCTGTGCATCTTGCCTTCTTCTTTTCCCTTTCATTTGATTCCCTAGAAATTGCTAGGGTTGAGGAATCACGATGGAGAATCAACATAGAATGGAGTTAGGCTGTTGGGAATTGGGCAAAGGGAGTTGTCTAGTTTGGTTTCAGTGGGCTGGGCATTGGCTCAGTGGGGATTGGGCTAGGAGTAAAGAGGGTTGGGCTTGGGCACTTGGGTCTTGGGCTGGGTAGCCCCTTTAAATTTCTGAAATTTGGTCGGTAGTTCGATTTTTCGGTTTGGTTCAAATGAACTTGGCTCCCAAAATGTGGCGTATTGCCTTCCGAATTTCGAACCTAATAAGGTTTATTTCGATTTTTGTCAGTTTTTGTTCGGTTCGGTTCGGTAAAACCAAACTGCATGCCCACCCCTAACGGAGGCCTCTAGCTTGGCTCTCCTAGATGTGGGGGCAGGTGGGTGGTGTGACTCGGAAGGGTTCCCATGATGGATAGTTACCCATGATATAAAGGGTTTGTTTGTAGCTCACAAGCGAGAGAACGACGTTGGTGTCGATAAACCTTTACTTTATTATTCGATATCCAGAACTAATGCCAAACTTACACTTATATAGTATGTAAACCCTACTGATCTTTCTACCATAGTCAACCCTTCCCTAACCGAACTCGACATCACCACACAACCCTACATTAATCTACTAATGACCCATCTAATAACACAAACCCATGCCTAATACCTAAACCCTTCTAAGCCCACATACCAATCCCCTTAACCCCCTACTTTCACGTCCCCGATATGTACCCATCATTCTTCCCCCCTGCGAAATCAACCTTGTCCCCAAGATTGACAATCGACGTCCTCTTCCTCGAACAGACACATGACCTTCGTCGTCCCACATTTACGACCGACGGTGAATAGTTTCCGGATCGCCCGATGGCCCCGAATTTGCCACAAGTGTCGAGTTTACAGCTCTCGGTGATGGCATTCCATTGTTTTACCCTTGGCTAGCCAACGATAATGCCCTCGCTGGTGGCTTGTGGCAGTGTAGCTAATCATTTTTCATTCGCGCAAGACTAATCGCATCTTGTGAGAGGTGGAGGTGGGGAGATGCAGAACGTGAGGAAGCAGAAATGGTGTGAGAGGATGAGAGGGGTTGGGTTTTGCGGGGAAGGGTTCAGAGAAGACACCATTGATGAAGCTCGAGCTTTATGAGGAACGAAATTGGGAGAGAAGAGTGGAAGAGAGAGATGGCGAGTTTGTTTTGTTAAGTGGGTCGGGTTGGGTGTATGACATGGAAGGTCTACTGACCTGGCGGGTCGGGTTTGACCATGTTTTTGCCTAAAACGGCGCTGACTAGGCGCTTCCTTTAGCCATGTCAGTACATAACAGACTCTGTTAACTGAGTTGGACGGAGACTAACGGTCATGTAGAGTGACTAAATGTGACCTGGTTCAGTAATTCGAGTGACCAAAATTGATATTAATTTTTCCTAGTGACTAAACATGACACGATTTAGTAATCTCAGTGACCAAATGTGGCATTTACCCTACAAGTTACTATTCATAAATCTCCTATATGGTATTATAGGAGTTTTAGGAAGAGTAACTTGTAACTTGTATTATTATAAAACCACTAAGGGATTTATATAGATTACAAGACTTGCAGAATAAGAGAACCACAATAATTCTAATACTAGAAGGACACGAAAAGACTAAGAACTATACTAGAAGAACCAGAAAATATAAGATTATTCCTATTCTATCTCTAACAGTTTCTTGGTTGAATTTGTAATAGGGTAACTCATTTGAAGTTTAGAAATTGATTTTCTTTGAACCATAGTTTGGTAGGATTTAACATTTGTTCTTAGCTTTTATCAGGATTTTTTCTAGATCTACCATCATAAAATAATTACAAAAATACCACTGTTTTCAGAAAATTTCCAAAACTAACACCATTTGCTGTAAACCGCACACTGAAGGTGCTGTTTACTGAAGAAAAGCCTGGGGAAGAAGCGATCAAAGTCAGGGCATCCAACAAACTATCTAGGGAAGCGATGGTCTGCAGAACTCTTGATTCGGGACCAAGTGTACACATTTTACCCCTCATTTCTTATTCGTTTAGCTTAACATTTCATCGTTCCTCGACATATTTCACGCTAGGTTGTGCTTGTTTTGATACATTTCAGGTCCTAGCATGGGTGGAAGGGTCGAGGTCGAATTTTGGGATAATGGAGGTTAAAAAGCGCAAAAAACCGAAGAAAAGTCCGAAGTCCGTGGCAATTGCCTCGTAGAATTGAAGTGAAGGCGCCCAGGAAACAGTCCCAGTTCACGGCCTGACAAGGCAGTTCACGGTCTCCTAAGACCGTGAACATGGACCACAAACCGTGAACATCAAGCAGTCCAGCGGGGTTCGTGAAGTTACTAACGACAAGGCAGTTCATGGTCTCTAAGACCGTGAACTAGGGCCATTGACCGTGAACCCAGGCGAGTGAAGCGTCACGTTTGGACGACGTTGAGTTCACGGAAGCGTTTAGGTGTTCACGGCCGTGAACTGACCAACGCGTCCGTGAACTGATCACTTTTGGGCAAATATGAAGACAACAGTGGGGTGAGAGAAAGGAGAGCTGGTTTTTGGAGAAGAAACACTTTCTTTCTCTATGGTTTCAACCTAAACACCAAAGGGTAGTTCTGGTGAGAGAGAGAGAGAGAGAGAGAGAGAGAGAGTGAGTGCTAGAGTGATCTTGGAGCATCATTGGAGGCTTGGGTGGAAGATTCAAGCCTAGAAGAAGAAGATCTTGTGCTCAAATTTGTAATCCCTCTCTCTCTTTCTAGAAACTCACTCTTTTCTCTTGGGTGTTGTGGATCCCTAAATACTACTTTGTACTAACTTGTTTGGATTGAATGATTAAGTGTGGGTTTGCATCAATTTGAGTATTAGAGGTATTATTCACCATGATTTTGCATGCTTGTACTTAGCAACTTAGAGGTTGTGCATATGTTGTGCTTAGCACCCTAGGGATTGTGCATAATTGTGATTAGCACCCCCTAAGTTTGTGCATTTAGGTGTTAGTAATCTAATTTGCCAACTTAGCCTAGTTTAGAGAGGAAAATCCCCCTTTTTAAGGGAGACTCAATTGAGTTGGTTTTCCTTTCGCTTTCCAAGCCACCTAAACTAGGTTGAGTTAGGGCAATCCTCAATATTGAATTGAACAAGTCGATTAATCGTGGTTAAACCGTCCGACCCTAGAGTTGATTGAGGAAGTAAGTCGATTACCGATTGTCTAAACCGAGAGGGTCGAGTGACATGACCTTTCATACTCACCTCGGTTTAGCAATCGAGATTGTGGTCTCCAACCACATACGCTTTCCTTTGCGGTTCACGATTATCGTGCCCATCTAGGTTGGTTGTGATTAAGCCGCTCAAACTCCGGTTTGAGGGAGAGACCTAGGAAAACACTAATGACTGAGTGAGAGGATCGATCTAGTGACAAATCGATCTCGAGTGAATCCATCCTGTGACAAATGGATCACTAGTTGCTCCTCCTAGTGATTCCCCTAGACTTGGTGAGTGGATCAATCCCGTGACAAATCGATCGCTAGTGAATTGATGCCGTGACAGATTGATCACTAGTTGCTCACCACCCGCGGTTCACAACCACCTATGCCACACGACTCCATTCAATCCAACGAGTCGTGGTAGCTAGTTAGGGGAAAGCAACTCCCTGGTGAAGCTCCCTTAGTTAGACTTTTGCTTGCTAGTTTAGTTTGTAGATTTTTTAGTTTTAAAACCCAAAACTGTTTTGCTAGATAACAACTTAAGCGATTGAAGTAGGGTACATGGACAGGCCCGGGTTGACAATTTAAATACTTGCTCTATACTGCACCCAACTAGAGTTTAAAAACTTTGACTCTAGTGGGGATTAATTTGTGGTGTAGTTTCATGCGAGTCAGCTCTTTGATTATGGCGGACCCTGTGCCATGTAAGCGTTCCTTGTCAGGGATCAAGAACCGTAGGTGGAGGGGGTGGTTTCTGGCCTAGAAAAATGCAAACCGTGGCGGGAGGAGGCGCTTATTGTGTGTGAAAAATTACAACCCCCCCCCCCCGACAGGCTGTCCGAATCCTATATAAACCCCCTCCCCCTCCTTCATTCTTCGCACCAAAACCTCTCCCATGATACTTCTAGCAAGAGCACTCTCATTTTTTTTTTGTTCTGAAGTTGACTTGGACTTCATGGCGATGCCCCCACGTCTACCATCCTCTCAGTGCCCGGTCTCGACTGAATACTCGCCAACATTTTTATTCATAATGGTGACCTTGTACTGACTGCTCTTCCTATTGTCTTTATCCATTATTTTTGTGGTTTTATCGGAATGGACCTTACCCTGTGCCTCCCTCTTTTGCAGCCTAGCGGAGTCGATTGACGAACCATTGGTTTGTTTTCCAGTATGTCATGTCAACAATGGCAGAGATTGGGAGTGCACGAACAACCTTGTAGACGTTGTTGATACTCGCACTTGAGTTCGTTGTGTCAATACCCCACCTGGTACCTCCATCCTTATAAAAAGTCCACATGGTTAGGTCATGTTGATCCAGCCACTGCGCACCTTCGGGGTATAGCTCATGGATCTTCTGCAGTTTCTTCTTGAATTTCTTCTCTTGCTAGGCAATAGCTGATGAATATACAGAAAAAGCGTAAGGTAAGTTGTAATTTGTATTGGTTGTTTTCAGTAATTTAACTCAATACAAGTACACTCGTCAGACTCTTAGGAGAGGTATACATCTCCTTAGAAACACTGTCTTTTTGACATAAAAGGGGTGTTCCGAAGATCGCTTAACACCCGATTTTCCCAGGAAATGGGAGGGTAATGATTATCTCTTAATACCCCATTTCCTTAGACATGCATCTCTTTATAAATAGTCTAAGGAAGTATTGCATTGTATTTCCTAGCATATTTTCTCAGTTAACGAAATTAATTCACCAATGAAATAGAACGCTTGCCGGTCCACCATAGACTATCAGTAAGCTTACTCCGCTTGAAATGATGGTTCCAACTGCTCTTAAAGTGTCGTATGCACCACCTCTGTGACCACCCCCAGACTGGATCAAAGCTTAAGATGGCAACCTTGATCCCGACGTGGCGATGAGAGATGATTGTTAGGTTCGTACTCCTGGTGACGTGGAGGTGAATTTGTCGGAAGAACCATCCATAGCATTCGGTATTATCTCCCTCAATAATGGCGAAGGCTAGAGGAAAGACACCTTTGTTTGCATCCGCTCCACTGACAATAAGTAGAGTTCCCTTGTACTTGCCGGTAAGGAATATTCCATCAGCTTGCATCACAGGGACCCAGAAGGAAAAACGATCAATAGATGGCTTGAATGACCAGAAAAAAGTTTGAAATGGCTTTGTTACCGGGCTTCGGCGACTGGATTTCTTCATCTTGGTAGCTGATAACGTCGTATTTGCACACATTTGCACCCCTGTTTCTTAACTGTTTTGGCTCGAATTGGTGTTTCTATGGCCTATTTTACGCTGGGTTGTGGTCTTTTGTCATATTCCAGCCAAAACGCTTAAGAAATAAGGGTGCAAACGCCTGCAGCTTTGGCTGCCACTCCTCCTCTAGCTGTTTGTTCTATAGCGGGGAGAGCGGGAGTGGCGGATAAGGGATGGATGAGAAGCCCTACAAAACGTGAGACACAAAAGGATACACGACAGACTCGTGCAACTAGTGAGATAAAGCATGCATATGCGAGAGAGCAGTCAAGTTATTAGCAATGGAAAAAGTTAGCTGCTCCTCGCCATCTCTTAAAACTAGGGTTCCATTATGCACATCAATAATGGCCTTGTCGGTGGCCAGGAAAGGCCTCCCTAGTATAAGAGGCACTTTTGCGTCCTCATTGATGTCTAATACAACAAAATCCACAGGATAAAAGAATTTGTCTACCTTAACTAGGAGGTCTTCCACTATGCCTCTAGGATGAACTATGAATTAGTAGGCTAATTGGATGCTCTCCTCCCCTCCACTGACTCGCTACGACACAACACCAAACTACGACCAAGCGCAGTCGTAGAATGGAAATGCAGAATAGTCGGTAAGCTTTATTTATCAGCCCAGGGTCTAGATCTACTTTCTACACCGTGAACTTCTATTATCTGGCAATAAGAGTTGAGTAATTGTAATTCTAATATAAAGCAGAAAGAAAGCATTAAATTGTTCGGTTTACTTAGCAGAAGAAGAGTCACTCGGGATTGAGTCCCCTTAGCTCCTCAGTTAGGTTCAAGTTGTAATTCCCTATGCTTGATTAATGTTGATTAGACTGCGGAAAATCCGAAAATAGCTTGAAATATCTTAAGCTGATCAAACCTTCTTAAGATAGAATACCTGGTAGGCGACTAGCCTTCACTGGAATAGACTGCTAAGGCGATTGACACAGAACTCCACTACTGGAATTGGATTCCAGTACAAAGCAGTGAATTGACTGAATATCGTACAATCAATTCACTCCGATCAATTGAAGAAGCTCTAACAACCTAATCATATTTTATCTATCATAGGCCGAAGCAGATATCAAGAGAAGTTGGTCATGATTCAATTGAGTCAATAAACACACTTCAATCGGTTAAAACCAATCAGTATATCATCCCAAAATTCATTACAATCAAGATTCCTAACACATGGAACTAGTGTTTTTCATACCCAAGTGAGAGAAAGGTTTACTCCATAGAGAGAGATGGAAACATAAATCAGAGAAATCATGCTCATAATGATGTATATGATAAGCTCTGTGATATAAATCTTCACTCCAAGGTCGAAATCCAAGATTGAATGGTGAAACCTATCGTCAAAATCGATCTTAGGGTTTGTTCTTCGTCATTTCTCTCTCTAAAACTTTGTTTTTGCTTTGAAAACTCAATTCCCCTCTCTTTGGCTCGAAACAGCCTGTTTAACACGGGCAAGGACACGACCGTGTTCTTCTTACTCCGCTCGGGTTTTGAATTCGTCACGTAGGAAACTTAAGCTGAGGACGGCGATTACACGCCCGCATCCATGAAACACGGTCTTGCCCTGTGATGAACATGGTCGTGTTTTTGCCTATACTCGCCCATGTTTTGAATTCTTCTGCAGCTCCCACGAACCAACCTTCGGCATAATAAACATGACCAAGGTCCTTCTATGCACACAACCATGTTTTGGAAAACGCAGCCCGTGTTCTTCCCCTGTCTTGATATCACCTTCACACTAAAAAGCACTAGCGTGGCCCAGGTGAAACACAGTTTTGTGTTCTTAGGGAAAGCTGCCTGTGTTTTGCTCCAGCTTTGTCGAATGACACCTCCAAACGACGCGAAACTCATGCCTAGACCTTCATTTGACGACTAGGACATGGAATGTGACAAAAGAGCACAACCCAGCGTAAAATAGGCCAAGGAAACACAAATTCGAGCCAAAACGGTTAAAAAACAAGGGTGCAAACGCCTGCAGCTTTGGCTGCCACTCCTCCTCTAGCTGTTTGTTCTATAGCGGGGCGGAGAAGGGATGGGTGCGAAGCCCTGCAAAACGTGAGACACAAAAGGATACACGACAGACTCGTGCACCTGGTGAGATAAAACATGCATAGGCGAGAGAGCAGTCAAGTTATTAGCAATGGAAAAAGTTATCTGCTCCTCACCACCTCTTAAAACTAGGGTCCCAATATGCACATCAATAATGGCCTTGTCGGTGGCTAGGAAAGGCCTACCTAGTAAAAGAGGCACTTCTGCGTCCTCATTGATGTCTAAGACAACAAAATCTGCAGGATAAAAGAATCTGTCTACCTTAACTAGGAGGTCTTCCACTATGCCTCTAGGATGAACTATGGATCGGTAGGCTAATTGGATGCTCATCCTAGTTCCACTTGGTTCACCTAGGCCTTGTTTCTTGAACAATTTATAAGGTATAACATTGATACTAGATAGGAGTGAATTGATTGTACGAGTCAGTCAATTCACTGCTTTGTACTGGAATCCAATTATAGTAGTGGAGTTCTGTGTGAATTGCCTTAACAGTCTATTACAGTGAAGGCTAGTCGCCTTCCGGGTATTCTATCTAAGATGGCTTTGTCAGCTTAAAATATTCCAATCTATATTCGGATCTTCCGCAATCTAATCAATAGAAGGAAATTACAACTTGAACCTAACTGAGGAGCTAGGGGGACTCAATCCCGAGCGACTCTTCTTCTGCCACGTAAACCGAACAATTTACTGCTTTTTTCTGCTTTAGATTAGAATTACAATCACACAACTGTTACTACTAGATAATATAAGTTCACGGAGTAGGTAGTAGATCTAGACCTCAAGTTGATAAATAAAGCTTACCGACTATTCTGCATTTCCATTCTACGATTGCGCTTGGTCATAGTTTGGTGTTGTGTCATAGCAAGTCAGTAGAGGGGGGAGAAAACAGTGCCAAGGTTAGACGCCTCCAATGCCAAAATCAATATGGGAAGGAATGCATATGATTATTCCCAATCACCAAACACGGCGTCCATTGCTTTCTGCTTTCCATGCCACGCCTTCTTATATTTAATAATATATACATAACGACTAGAATTGTCGACGATGATGGCTTTCACCTTCAGGTCGGGCTGTTGCTCAATTAGATGTTTGATAGCCGCAACAACAACCCTGGATTTCAACTGGCGATGGCCTTGGGATGTTATGGATGACACACATGTGTGAGTGTTCACCGCACAGGATATGACCCAATGGTTGACTCTCTTGCTCTTGATGGACCGGACCCTAGCCTTGCATCCCTCCTGTTGATTTTGGCATATAACTATGAGCCTCTTCGTATTGGAATGATTTGTGTTCCATTCAAAACTTCGAGTCATTGCTTTAGTGTCCACAGTGTGTTGCCCCACTTTTTCGTACCAAATTGTTGGCCCTACGTAAACTAGTGAGTGAACCCCATACCGGCACCTCTAGCAGCTCCATGTCGGCATCAACATACCAATTTTCATTTGGAATGTGATTGTAATACGAGATAGGTACATGGTCACGAGACACCTCATCATCATCCGAGTCTGAATCTGGTCCTGAATCATCAGCACCTTCAAGACTGTCGAAGCTGTCTGCACTGATATCGCCTTCCTCTTATTCATCCTCAAGGTCACTAACTGGACGTCTGGACCTGGCAGGACATCTTCCATTTGGTCCAGATCATGAAAGGCACCTTCATCAACTCCGTAATGGTAGTTGTGATAACTACCGATGCCTGCATGGAAGTTGTGCTCGGGTTGGTACTAGTAGCCTTCTTTTTGGTTGCCATGGTACCCTTGGGCTTCTTCTTCATATGATGGGAAGGATTGATGATGACCTCCACCTCCTTCTTGGTGTTCATGGTAGGAAGGAGGATCATGGCAACCTTAGGGATGATCTTCGTATAATCCACCTCCACCGTGGATACCAGATGTTTGGTCATCTCTAAAATGACCTCCACTGCCTTCGACCGCCTCGGTGTAAACAAACATCTCTGCTTTGGAAATGTTATTGGCGATCAAAAATTCGACCATGGCATCAACGTCTAACTGAGTGGTCATGAGGAATTCCTCATGCCACAACGACCCGCATTGTCAGTTTGGATATTGATACACCGTATGACCAACTCTTCTCATGCCATCGATGCAAGTAACCTCAGTGCACATTTGACGGAGCTCTTCAAGGTTCAGTCTCATAGCGACCTTTACTTTATGAAAATTACCACTGATGTAATGTACCCTCTTTTCAGTCTCTTCCGTATAACCATTCCACTGTAACCCAAACGTGAACTTTTGGAATGCCATATGCAATTAGGAATGGCAATGGGTCGGGTTAGGTCGGGTTTTGCCAAAACCAAACTCAAACCCATGGGTATATCCGTGGAAAAACTCGGGATAAAACCCACTGGGTTTGGTAAACTCAACCCCAACCCAACCTGGAGGGTATCCGCGGGTTCATGGGTACCCATGGATTTTTTTCGTAAAAAATTTACAATAACAAGTTCCTATCAAAATAAAAGTCAAATATCAATCTATCAATACAAATTATCCATAAATAAAACATAATTCTCGAAAATTCAAGCAAATCACAAATTAATCATACAAATTGTTCAACACCAATCAAGAAAACTAAATTTTTTTTAAACAAATCACAAATTATCCATAAACATGATTAATTGAAAGCTTCGTCCTACTTGTCAATTAAGCTTCTTCACTCGATAATATCAATTTCATTCTACACAATTGGAAAGAAAAAATTAGACACATCTCTACAAACATAAAGAAGATTAGTTGCTTAGAATATTAAATATATCGGGAAAATTAATTATATGGGTGTGGGCGGGTATCAATGGGCATGTATACCTAAACCCAAACCTAATCCTACCCGATGAATAGTGAACTGGTTTAAACTCGAACCCGGCCCAAAACCCGTCAACAAGGGTTTTACCCGCGTTGACTGGGTTTGGTCGGGTAGGGTACCCGTGGGTTCGGATTTTGTTGCCATCTCTATCTGCAATAAAACAATAACTAAATTAATACCACAAATTTGTCAGCGTTAATCGCAAAACAAACTTACAATAAAAAGTAATACAAAACAAACTTACAAAGTAACGTTAATCGCTAAAACTCAAAACACAAATCACAAAATAGAAACTTAAAGAAGAATAGGAAGAGTGGTGAAGTTCCGAGCCTGGCTTTTATAGAGATGCAACCCCACGTCTGCAAACCGCTGGGGGGGTTGTGTGTCGACAACATAAACCGCTTGTTGAAGGAGCGGTTTCTATTGTCGCATAGAACCGCTCCTTCAACAAGCGATAAGTTCTAGGTCAGCCACTAAACCGCTTTCAGGAGGGGCAATTTGTAAAAATAATTTAAATCGCCACCTCACCATGCGATTCTCTCACGAACACGCGACCTTCAAATCTTCAGTCTGACGCTCTCCCAACTGAGCTATCCCTGCTGACAATGTTTACTAACTTTATAAATATATTCATATAGACATCAATAATTTTCAACATGCAAACATAGTTATTTGAACTGGCTTGACACAGTAATGTAATAGATGTTAGTGTATCAATTTCAACGCTTGCCAAATGTTCCCTTCATACGTTTGTGTTTGATCTCTGATATAGGGACGATGAGATCCTGTTTTATTTTGTGAGAAGTCCTTCATTATATATGATCAATACTACTACACCGCCATGACCATCCTACGATTCCAAAAACAAGAAGCAGTTTGTGAGATGATTCAGAGAAACCCTTCTGGCTTGTCAAAATTCACAAGTGCTGCACTTTTCTCCACTTCTCTTTTTGTTTTGCTTATCATCTAAGTAGACAAGTCTCAAGTTCTGAGTCACTAAACTACAGTGGAGCTTTTTTTTTTCTTCTTCTTCTGCCAGCCATTACTGTTTTTTGATGAGACAAAAACAGGACAGAACCCTGCCAGGCTAAAAATGGTTGCCCACCAGAAAAGCAGTGGTTGATGTGGGACGGGGACAAGCGGGGTTAGATTAGATAGCGATGGATTGAATGCTGCACGCTCTCTCTGTCTGCGGTTGTATTTAAAATCGGGATCGTGAAACATTTGTCTTTCCTTCTTCCCAGCAGCAATCTGTAATTTGCTGTCGCGGTGTTTAGCTATTTGTTGCCAGATTTCTAGCTGCACCTCCTCCTCTTGGTTGCCTTTTAGTGGCCGGTAACTTTCCTTGCCACCATAGAAGCTTACTCTTTAGTTTCCCAAATGGTTTGGAGGTTGAATGGATGGGTATAAGCATTTTGTTTGCACCTTTTCGGTCGTTCGATGGTTGTGGTGCGGGTATGGGAAAAAATGAATGTTTTTACATTGGATCCATGCACACTACGGATCTTTCAATTTCAAATTCGACAGCCGAGATGGTATAAGCATGATACTTATGCATACTCCGCACTAAGGTGAATAGCCAAATTCTCTAGGTTGTTGTGGAAATTATGTCCATTAACTTTTTGGTTAAGACTTTTTGTATAGATACCCGGATCAAACTCCTTTTTCGATTTTCGAATTCAATTCACTCAATTTTTGATTGGATTGAATCGGATCAGACTGTGTTCTTTCGTCGACCGATTTCTTTCCCTCGTATTCCCTTCATTTCTTATCTAATCTCTCCAACTCAACCGAATGGCTACCAACCCCCAACCAACAATCCTACAGACGGTCCCCCATCATGAACAAACTCTTACGAATATCTATCCTTTTTTGTTTGTGTGTGTGTGAGTGGACACAGTGAAAGTAGGAGGAGAGCATTTTGTGGCTTTGTGGGATTCTTCTCTTCACTCATATTTTTTTTATAGGTAAAGCGTTTTCTCCACATTTTGTCCATGTGTTACTGCTGTACACACAAACAAAGTACAATTATATAGCCCTCTGAACTATTCACCTCATTCTAGAATGTCGACTAGATGAATCTCTTATACTTGCAACTTCTTCCCACTATACTAGATTACATGAGCCGAGTTCGACTCGGCTCATTACTGAGCTCATGAATTGTACTCGAACTCGGCTCATCAATTAGCTCGGGCTCGAAATAAGGCATCATATAATTGAGTTCATAATTTGTAATTGTGCATATCACGTTATTCAATAGTAATCAGTGTATAAGTAATCTATAATACATAAATTTTCTCTTTTAAATTATAAATGAGACATATTTGATCACATGCTCAAATACTTGGACATCATATGTGATGAAATATGTAATTTAACAAACCTATCAATTATTAACAAGCCATAATAAACTATTAACCGATTCGCGCATAAGTTGTTAGTTGAGTTGGCTCACTAGTCATACCATCAAGCTCGTTCTCATAGCTCAAAAAAGAGCTAGCTCATGATTTGAGCTCAACAT